CAAAATCTATGTTGGAAAATAGAAAAGTAGACAGTAGAGAAAAAAACCCACATGACAAGGGAAATTATTGTATTTGTATCATTACGAACAAACATATTGATGTGTTCAAAGAAGCAATACAAAGATGATTTCATCTTTAAATTCTTATTGCAATTTCTTAAAATTTCTCTAGGGCAGATGGCTTTATGCTTTGTTAGCTTGTCTAGAGAAACCATTGTTACCAGAGGCTCACTCTCTAATTCGACAACTGGCTAGACAATGCTCTGAAGTGAGGGTACTGGAGGTAAGCTTAACTAGTTGATCATTGAAGGGGAATACTAGAAGATCCTGATCATGCTAATAGCTTGAAGCCATCATTTCTCTGAAATATGTACATTTTTCACTTGTTATTTTGATATTTCAGAATGGTAATCAAAACTTGAGAAAGGGGCAGTACCAGTTATACTAAATGTTCAAAATGTTGCTGTTATTGTTATATCTTTGATGAATTTAGTGAATATCTAAAACAGCGGTTCTCAACCTTTGTGTGACGGCATGCGCAGCGCCGCCCCGAGGGGGAAAAATGGCGGATCACATTGTTTGGCGACCCCCGTAAAATGGTCGTTCGACCCCAAATGGGGTCGCGACCCATAGGTTGAGAACCGCTGATCTAAAAGATGGTTGTGTTTTCTAGAAATATATTTACTAGAGCTATTAATCAGTTGTCAAAATCATTGCAATTTGTTGGAAATTTGTAACATAAAGCAGGGGTGACAAACTCAATTTCATTGAGGGCCGTTATCAGCATTGCAGTTGCCCTTGGGGGGGTCCGGGGGTGTGTGGCCAGGGTGGGTGTGGCCTACTGGGTGGGCGTGGAGGGAGTGGGCATGGCCAGCTCTACATCATTCGCGTCAAGGGTGCCTGTGGGGGCCTGGGCAGGAGTAGGACAGATCTGAGGATCTCTGGCAGAAGGGGGTGGGACCGGGGCAAGTGTCAAGGCATGGTCCACTGGAGGAGCCTCACTGTTCCTCTCAGGCCATGTGAGGGGGCTGGATAGTGGTGCGGGCTGCCCGGAGCCCTGGGCAGCAGAGGTCCAACGCCCAGCCTGGCCCTCGAGCACCCGTGGCACTAAGCCCAGCCCCACTTGCCCAGCTGCACTTACCTCCTCCTCCTCAAGGCTGCTGCTGTGCTTGTTCTCTTTAGCCAGGTTGTTCATGATGGGTACCAGGGCAAAGTCAGAGGGAAACTGAATGTATTTCAGTATAGATGGCCACCACAAAATTGTACATTGACTCCCGGCCGGCCGGCCGGCCTGGGCCAGGACCAAGGCAGTGGGGGCCGTTCCCTTACTGTTTCAAGGATGGCTTCGCGGGCCACATCTGGCCCCCGGGCCTTGTGTTTGACATGTCTGACATAAAGCAATTGCTTGAAATTTAGTAAAGCACATTAATGCTTTTCTTCCTTCTAACACAGGAGAACAAGAATGAGGAAAAAATGTCTGCTCTAAACTTGTTAATTTGTTTGGTTGGAAGGTATGGCAATTTTTTTTAATTAGTGTACTAAGTTGGCTATTTAACAAAAATTAAATCAATCTCTTCACCTTTATCCTCAAGAGTCTGCACCATTACTTACATGAGCATTATTTTGCAATAATAACTTGTAATTTTTACCCTTCTATATTCTGTTTCCAGAGACATAAAAGGCAGTAACCAATTGTTGGATTGTGTTATATAATATTACAACATACACTGGCTACAACTATATACAGCCATATAATTTCTCTGATTTCACTTGTGCCTTTCTCATGTTTCCTCATCCAGTATTGTATAAAAAGAAGAAAGCTTAACATTGCATAATGAAATTCGATGATTGCAACTTCCTTTGTAAGGTCTCTCCATGCTGTCTTAAACTTCAATACTACGTCTGGAGTCACATGCTCTGTGATTCCATGCAAAGATCAATTCAGAATATCCTGGACTGGAAAGCACCTGAATAGTAGTTAAAATAGTATAATTCTCATATTACGTTAGTATTCAACTAAATGGAAATCTAGACAAGCTATACAGTGAAGTACTGCCTTTCTTTGATACATTTGTTCAAGATTTGTCTGAAGATTTTATTAATATTTATAATTATGGGGTTTCTTTTCTCCCACCTAACAGGTATTTTGACCAATATGACTTGGCTGACGAGGCATCCTGATAAACATCTGGAAACTATACATGCACGAGTTGTAAATCTTTCTCAGGCAGGCAGTACTTTCATGACTGAACTATGAAAAATGGATACACCACACGTTCCAATGTGACCTTAGTGAATATGGTGTCTTCTATACTTTTTTTTTTTTTTTTTTTGAAAACACTGATTTTAGCAAGTGAAGATGTTAATAAAATACTTTCTTACAAATTATTGTCCATAACTCAGCTTGTTTGATCTACATATAAACTATGTGTGCCTCTTGGTATTTAAGGTACTACACAATGAATCAATGTATCTATCTTATTAAAACCCAGCAGAACTGAAGAAACTAATCAAAAAGGCTATTTATGTTGAACAATACAGGTAATCCCCAAGTTACGAGCATTCTCTTAAGACTAGTTCAGTGTTACGTGATCAGCACAGCAGTCCTTGTCCTTACAAGTGACTGCAGAGGCTTCTGCAATATTTACCCTATTCCTCTCCCCACAACTGCTTCTCTCTCTCTTCCTGCTGCGCGGGACTCACCTTACAAAATCTGTCTCTTCTCTGCCGCAGTTTCTTTCTCTTTGAGGAAGAGGAAAGTCGGCTTGGAAATACTTGTCATGCCAATAATGGAAACCCCTGGGTGCCGTAATATTGTGCGAGTTCAAACACAAATTCTCTGCAAAAAAGATCATGGTCTACAAAAGCTTTGATTCTCAGGGGGGGGGGGAGTGTTTGATTCATTCTTTTGTTGCTCTGCAAACAGAATGGAGCTGGAAAGGAGGTTAGTGAAGGAATGTGGTTGTCGGAGGTGTAGTAGGGGTTAGGATTTGGGATTGTGGAGTGTTTGTGTTCTGGTGGGGCTATTCAAAACGCAGGGATTCCTTGTGTTTTGAAGCACCCTGTGTGACTGCACGGAAAGGAATGCTCTGTTCAAGTGCCCTACTGGCAGCCACGCAGAGCTTCCAGTCTCTGTCAGGTCTCCATTGGGATAAAAAATGTTTCAGCACCTATGGAGTGCTTCCAAACGCAGGGACTGGCTTTGTGTGCTGCCTACATCCTGTGGATGGGGCTTTTCTTGTTTGTGTGGACCAGTTGCTGGCATGCCATGGCCTGGTGCTGGTCTGTGGACCAGGGGTTGGGGACCCCTGTTTTAGATCCTATAAGATGCAATGCTTAAGGAACTCTGGTAAGATGAGTAAATGTCTTTCAGAAGAGACAGTCCTACAGATGACCTAGCCTTGTGCCATGTAAGACTTTAAAGGTAATAATCAACACTTTGAACTGCACCCAAAAGGAAACTGGCAGCCAATGCAGATCACACAATACATGTTATATGAGTAAACCTAGGTGCCCTCATCACTGCATGCATCATCACATTCTGGATCAGTTATAACTTCCAAGTCTTCAAGGGCAGTCCCACGTAGAGGGTACTGCAGTAATCCAGGTGGTAACCAAGGCTTGAGTAATTGAGCAAATTTCCTTCCAGTCCAGGAAAGGATGCAATTGACTCTCCAAAATAATCTGTACAAAGGATCTCCTAGCCATGCCTGCCAGCTGCTCTTTGAGCAGGAATTTGCGAATTGCATACCAACAACATATATATCATATACATACTGTATATTCTTTTCTACTGATCTTTACAAGCAACTGCACTAAACATTGCTTATGTCTACCTTCCCAAACTATTGCTTGTTCAGAAACACTGCAATAACCTTTTTCATATGATTAGAAACAGGTAAGAATGAACAATATTCCTCTGTTGTCAACATTTATGCTAGATTCTGACCATTAAATCAAATTCCTTAGCCAATCCCGATCAATGTTTATGCATCTGTTTCTGAGGGATGTATTCGGCTATGAACAAAAGGTTACTTCTTGAATACAAGGTCTTTGATCATTCTACCTTCCTATACTTATTAATCTATCAGTTTCAGTTTGATGGACAAGATTTCTAAATAGAATTCGGACATGCCCACTTCACTGTTTTTAATTCCAACATGTCAAAACCATTAATTCAAAGCCCTTATTTGAAGTCTCAACCTTATAAAGAAAATCAGAGTAAATCAAAATATAAAATCTAACTATGTGTAAGATGTATCTGTATTACATGAATAGCTAACAGACAACATCTTATATATCTACATGTAAGGAATCAAAATTTTAGAATATGAGTGAGGCTAAGTGACACGTAAGCTATAGGATTTCCACACGTAAGCTATAGGGTTTCCACATAGGATTTCCACACGTAAGCCATAGGATTTCCTGGTATGTGTCAAAGTAGATATAAGGGAATAGGTGAAGCAAAATAGCAGGGGCAGGGATAATGTATTTTGTTTAGGCGATCCTGATAAGATTGTAATCTCTAAAGCCGAGCCAATGAGGCCAAAGGGGAGGGACCAAGGCGTCGGGATAGAATGTATAAAATATGTGCTTTTACTGTGAAAAAGGTGTGGCTCAAATATTGATTTGGAGTCCACCACGCTTTGTAAACCGTTGTATCCAATAAATCTCCGTTTAATTTCAACTTGCTGTTTGGTATTATTCAGTGGGCTAGAATTTCTGCCAACATACACATTAAATATGATTTGGAGCAATAACTACCCAGTTCAACCCTAATTGTTACATTAACATTGTTTATGTAGTTTTGAAACTTTCAGCTAGATAAGCAAGTGCATCATTTTTAAAACTATGAAAGATCATCTTGAAGCAATTTTATTGTCTATGGAATACCTAAACTATCTTTCTGGAACTGAAAAACAGGAGTCCCGTTCTCAGCTCTACGGCCATGACCCATTTCAACATTGCAAAACTGAAATTGTATAGGATTAGCCAGATAGTAAACCTTAGCATTTATTTAAGATATTCTATTCATCCTAACAAACATTCATCTGCATGGGTCAAAATTGAAGACAATTAAAAATCTACCAGCAAATTGTGGAAAATGTCAATTAATCGCCTCTGGAAAAAATGTATTTGACAAAGCGGACACTAATACAATAAAGGATAGCTTCACATGATTTATAAATAAAATAGTTCATTTTGCCATTTTACAGAGCAAGACAATGGATTTTATATTTACGTCTTCTGTATCATCACTTGAAATTTACCTGCAAAAAAAATATTAAGGAATATTTGTTTTATCAGAAACAATCTTATGTACTTCTAAAAATTCTACTAGACTTCAGGTTCAAGCATATCAAAATACATTTTACAATGCAATCTGTTCACTGCCTTGATGAGTAGAACCTATCTGGTGAGACTACAGTCTGTTTCCTCCTCGATTACTTTCACATTCTGAAAATCCCATTTTTCCTTATCTTAATTTGAACATAATTCAATTTGAATTCATAATTCAATTAGAGAAACTATTCTAATTGAATTGTGGAAGATAGTAGAGAACTAACAGCTACATCTGGTTCCTAGTGCCACAAATGTCCTGTATGTGGCTTTGTACCACATAGAGAAAAAACATTCTCGGTGAGATTTAGGAAAGATTTATGAATTGAAGCAGATGTCCTGTTCAACTCAACCATTTTAGCTGGACATTACTGCCAATAACTACTGCCAATAACTACTGTCACCTTATTTCTTAGGCAGCTCACTAATTTTACATTAAGGTACAGTATACTTTTCTATTCTAGCACCATTTTAAAGCAACTGTTTTGTAATTTCACTTATTTTATCTTATATAATACACAGAAGAGAGCAGATTTATCTCATTTTGCTAATACAAAACATACTTACATGCAGGCATTGTTGAAACTTCAGCTGTCACAATACTTTTTATTCCCAAATTTGATAAAGCGCCTCTAATTAGTCCACATGTAAATGCCAAATACTGCAAGATATGTCAAGGCAGAATACTCACAATAAAACTCTAATCTTAAAATAATTTATAAAACTCATTCTGAGGAATACAAACTTATTTTTATAGCCTAGAAAGAAAGAAGCTTGCACCAAATTTCAAACCATTAATGGTTCAATGAGGTAAAAGCTAGAGACACTTTTAATGTTATTTGCTTCTGTTTCAGACTTCATTTAAAATATTTTTTATTATTATTCCGATAGAAGGACAATAAATTATAGCATAATAGGGCTAGCATAGTTTTTCCTCCCATAATAGTAAAAGGGATGGGATGGAGGGAATGTACGGAAAATGGAAAGGTTTGGATCCTAATCCATGTCTGAAACACATTTTTTTTTTTAGCTTTCTGCCCAAGTTCCAATGGAAGTTATATTATAAATGTCTTTGTAAGACATTTTCTAAGAAATAGAGGATGACAGGGTCAGAAAGCTATTGTTTAAGCCAGTGTTTCTCAACTCTTTTTCACTCGTGGCCCTCTTCCAATTTTCTTCCTATGTCCCCCCCCCCTTCCCAGAAACATATATGGTAGAGTAATTGGTGCATTTTCTGGCATCAACAAGACACAGTAATACATTTCAGTAGCCCCCTTGACACATGCCATGACCCCCCATTACATGTTTTTCATCTGTAGCCACCTTGAAATATCCTAGGGCCCCAGTTGATAATCAATGATTTAGATCATCAAACCCAATCCCCTATTTAGTACATGAATTCAATTTAAAGCATTCCTGACAAATGGCTATTTACCCTTTACTTAAGCACATCCAATGAACACAAGCACACTATATCTTTGGGTAATAGATTTCACTGTCAAGCTGTTTTAAAATGTTTTTTTTTTTATAAAATTTAACCAAATTCAATTTTATGTAACTTAAGTCCTTTAGTCTATGCCCTCCATTCTGCGACAAATAAGAACTGCCTTTTTATGTTTATTTTTTTGTTTTATGATAAAGAAAGAGGGAGAGATTAGATTTATATAGATGTATAGATGTTCAAAGAAAGTAATGTTTAAATTTGTGTCTTGGAGGGAGTTTATACAGAATGATGAATAATATTATAAGTATGATGTTAGAAAATGTTTAGAGTATATTATAATGTGTTTAAGGACTGTAATTATTATTTTTTTAGAGAAGATAACCTATTTAATTTAAGGTATTTAGATTTGTTTAGGATTTATATGTGTTTTAAGTTTTTCTTTTCTTTTTTTTGAAAAATTTTAACTAAGCCTGTACTCAACTCTGGGAAGGTTGGGGGAGGGTTTGGGAGGTTTGGGGAGGGGGGGAGGGTATGGGAGGGGGGGGTTCGGGGAGGGGATTTGTTTTGTAAAATTTAAAAAATTTTCAATAAAAAAAAAGAACTGCCTTTATTTTCTATGTAACAACCTTTCAGGTACTTAAAAATGTGATAATAATTCCCCATCATCTTTTTTTTAGAGCTAAACAATATGTATCTTTATATATCTTGATTTGTAATCTCCTAATTATCTGTTTCCCTTCCAATTTCTCTGAAAATTGGACTCTGACTGATGTGGAATGGTGATATGTGGGTTATTTCCTCCAATTTGGAAATTAGAGTTCTGTTGATACAATGTAAAATTACATTGGGTTTTTTTTTCTGCAGCCATATCAGTCTTCTACCTCATGTTTACTTTGCAATCAACTACTATAGGCAGAAGATTGCATATTTAGCTAGCTTAAATGTATATTATATAATGCTATTGTCCACCTTAAAGGTTATCAGAATAGGGAAAATAATAGCCAGGCTGTTCAGGAGTTTGGAATCAGCATATTAATTATATATGTTGAAAGGATCCCATACTGCAGTGATGGCGAACCTTTTAGAGACCGAATGCCCCAAAACTGGCCCTACCTCTGCTCCACCCCCCGCTCCGCGGCTCCGCTCTGCCCTCCCATCCCCTGCCCCACCTGCCCACAGGACCATTCACCGCCTCAGGGCCCACCGCAGATCGCCCAGGCAGCCTAGTAGCACTATGGCGGTCACACCTTCTGCCCGTGCCCTGCAGCATCAACTGCATGATGGGGTGTGAGGGCAGAATCTTGTCTACACTGCCTGGCTGCCATGTCCTTGGCTGCGCTGCTCCGTGTGGGCCACGCTCGAGGGTGACTCTCCTTCAGGGGGGCTGCTGGAAAGGAGGGGGTCGCGGGGGGAGGCAAGGCTGGGGCAACGGCACGTGTGCCCACAGAGAGGGCTCCGAGTGCCGCCTCTGGCACTCGTGCCATAGGTTCGCCACCACTGCCATACTGCAAAGACCATTTGGCTCTTTTTCCAATAACAAAATAAGATTTTCTAACAGTTAATGTTATATTTCAGAGCCTTTTCAAAATAGATTGAATGCAGTTCCAAATAAAAAGGAGTGATAAAGAACCTATAAAGAGAACCAAAAATCTCTCTTCTGTTATATTGGTATAAGAACAAAGATGCATATCTAATAGCTAGAATGCATTTAAATTTTAGATACTTTATAGATACATGTTTCCCATCAATATTTATCTTCCAAATTTCACACAACAGTCTCACAAATTAAAAACAACAGTATGGTGATTATACTGTTCAAAGGACTGCACATGCTAGCATAATATCCTAGGTCCTTCCCACATTTCTCCCCATGTCTTAAGATTTTGCCCCATTCAGTAGCAAAATCTGCAGAGATTTCTACTCACATTCCATTGAGTCAAAACAGAACTCTCTCTCAATTGGATGTGAAGAGAGAAAGATTGGCAGGCACTACATAGTTCCTCATTTTACCAGGCTTTAGCTTCTCATATATTCAGACAAATTAGCACAGTATGCATAAAAGGCATAAAACACAGGTTGCATATTATGTATGTTATGCATAATATACATAATATACAACCTGTGCACATAGCACATAGAAAATAGGAAGGAGCAGGAAACCGCAATTTGATCTTCCTCCCCACACATGTGGAGAGACAGAAGGCTTAATAACAATCCATTAAAGAACTGACATTTTAAAGCTACAATACATATACCTTAGGGGCATGTTCCAAGTATTGCTTTCCTGCAGACATTTGAGTCAAAAGACGAAATTTATTATCCTGAAGTACGTAAATACCCTGCAGAAATGAACATTTTCCATTTTAAATTTTATTTAATACATTTATACCCTACTATTAATTTTAATGTTACACTAAAACATTTCTTAGAAAGCTGATCCACACATCAACAGAATTTGTTAAGATTGCCCATATGCAGCCAAATTAGTGTTTGTACATTTTTCATTAGGTATGCATTAGCAGTTTTATTACTGAAACTATAGAGTCTTTACCCTCAATCAACTTAGAACGTTTTACGTTTTAAAAATTAATCAGTCAGTGTCTAGCTGTCAGAGTTTATGAGTCCAACTGGACTCATGTTCCAAAAAGTATGGGAGAATCACGTCAGTGATTAAAGAGACAAAAGTTTAAAAAAAAGTTTTCAGAGTAGTAGAAGAGCTAATGGTTATGGAATGGCTCAATTTGAGAAGGATTGAAAAAAGATAATAAAGGGGTAGAAAGGAGACTAGTAATCAAACATGAGCTAAGAAATTTGCTAGGAAATCAAAGATGTATTTGAAAAGCAGAATATATACATTGTACTAGTTTATACATGCAAACTGAGATTTAAATATGCCAAATGAAGCAGTAATTTGTATTTATGACTTTATAATTGTAACTAGAAAGACAAAGAATCTCTGTATCATTTAAAATCTTCAAATCAATGTTTTATGGGAAGGGCATTAAAGTGATTTAATATGCATCTATATGTATTTAGCAGAACTGGAATACTTCTTAGGTTCACAGAAATATGGACATTTCCTTTCAGGACAGAAGATATGTGGACAGCAGAGGTCAGTGGATTATTCTGTGTAATGTATCATCAACTTAGCCTTATCATGATCAAATTGACCATAGTAAACTTCATATTAGCAGATTTTTATATTCAAAACAATATTCACTATAAGTTTTTAATGTTTTTAAAACTGCAATGAAAGTGTAGACAAATATTATTCAAGACTATAAGTACTGCTGAAACTCATCAAGAAAAATAACTGCATTGCTATTGTTAAATAAAAATAACTTGACTCCTATATACATACTGCTCTTATTTATAACATTCATTTACTTAGCTAACATCTATGCATTGAACTGAAATGTTTGAAAAGGAACAGAATAGCACAGCAATGGAACATAGTTTGACTCCTTGTTCTACAAGTCATTATTCATTCTAATACCTGATGATTGGTCCTGAGATTATCAATTTGTTTTTTGAATACAGTAGTCCAAAAATCTTTACAGATAAACTTCATTATATCTAATTCATCTTTGAATCGGGCAGTATCTTTCGTGAACCTAAGAGAAAGCAACCCAAATAGCAGCAGCATTTAATCACCTTCACACAGGGTAATAATACACTTAACTGTTTACAATCAGTTTAAAAAATGTGCACAACCCAATCAAATCTAAAATACGCCAACTGATTTTATAACAGGAGATAGATGACGAAAGTGACTGAATATATATTTTGCATGCAGAATATAGAAAACTCCATGGGCTATATTGAAAAAATACAGCTTCATTGCTATTGCAACCACTAAATTATATTATAATACATACAATATGCAATTACTTTTTGCATATTATTTACCAACTTTTTCTCTTAAAGTTAAATTAAAGCAATGTGAGCTATTTTTCATTTTTTAAATTTCTTTAACATTAATTATAAAATATAACATGTATCCTACAGTAATAAAAACAGTGTTTGAATATATAATACAGTATGAATGAAAAAAAAATATATTTCTAAAGACAAAAGGAATCTAGCTGGAAAAAATGTAGATAGGATTATATTAAGAGCAATGAGAACCATCCATAAAATTAAAATATGGAATTAAGAGAACATATATCACAGTAGTACTTCCCTTCATTCCTCCAGTCCAAATCACTTTCTTCCTAACTGGCAATATAAGATCTAGCTTTAGTATTTTACCAACCTCGATTCTTTAAAATAAGGAGGCCATTAGCCATACTTAATAATTTTAGAAGCTCAAAGGTCTACAAACTGGGTAATGTCAGCAAGAGCCCCAAAAGTTTATTCTCAGTGTAACACACCTATTTTAGGCATTGCACTACAATTTCAGCTATTTCTCATTCCGAATAAAAACAGTTCAGTTTTTAGTTCAAGGTGGTTCAAGGACTACTGAAAGGGGTTGGGGAAGTTGCATTTGACCCTGGCACCACAGATTACACAACCCCACTGTAAAAGAAAGAAAATAGTCAAAAGAGAAAATAAACATTGCACTCACCTTTCTATTAATCCTTGTCCTACTCTAAACCCCATGTTTTCCAATTTTGTAATACAACGTCCATTTTCCTATAATTACAAAAAGAGAACCTTGCAGTTGCAAATACTCTATTTTTAAATGGTTTTAAATGATTCTTTTTATTCTCTCTTAACTATTTTAAAGTAGAATCAAAATGAAAGCAATTGTGACTTTGTCATGCAAGAGCAGTACATCTGAGATAAACATTGCTTGTATTATCCTTTTACTGTATTGTGCTAATAAGGGACAATTGTTAGTGTTTGTACCAAAAAAAAAAAATAGTCATGTGGCATTTGAAAGGCTGCTACTGTCAGTAAAATTGGGGGTGGGGGAAGGTGAGTACCCAAAGCCACTTCATTGAATAGCAAAGTCAGTTCCATTAGGAAGAGAAACAAGACCCTGTCAACCTTTCATGAGAAGTCAACTCTATCAGGCTTTGCCTCTCCCTATAAGTCATCCAACAGGATGTGGCAGGAGTAGGGATTTACAACTCCTCCAAAAGGGCAGTTTTTGTCATTCAAATGACAGATCTACTCTCCAAAAAAAAAAAAAGCAGGTATGGTGCATTAAAGGAACTTCAGAATTAAGTATAGGCAGTCCTTCACTTACAACAGTTCATTTAGTGACTGTTCAAAGTTACAGCGGCACTGAAAAAAGTGACTTATGACCAGTTCTCACATTTATAATTGCTGCATCCCTATGGTTAGGTGATCAAAATTGAGATACTTGGCAACTAACTCATATTTATGACGGTTGCAGTGTCCTGGGGTCATTTGATCAACTTTTTCTGTCAAGCCAAGTCAATGGGGAAGCCAGATTCACCTAACAACCCTGGTTACCAACTTAACTGCAGTGGTTCACTTAACAAGGGTGTCAAGAAAGGACATAAAATGAGGCACAACTTAGTTAACTGTCTTGCTTAGCAACAGAAATTTTGGGCTCAATTGTGGTCATAAGTCAAGAACTACCTGTAATCGGGTCGGTAAAAATAAAGCCATACATTGACCATTAGAAAAGGTTGGACATTAATTTAAAAAAATAAACCAGACTATTTCCTACGCTAAAATAAGTGACAACAAGGCCTTTCCGTTCTCTTCAAATCATCCCTCCCGCTAGTATTCCGTGTTACCCAGAGCCTCCGCAGCCGACAACCGGAAACGAAGCGTATGAATCCAGCGCTTCCCCCTCCCCCGCCTGCTAGGATTTGTCCAAAAAGACCGCCAAGACCGCCGTCTAAGTTACCTGTTCAGCCACTGATTCCTGGAAAAAACTCCGGACAGGGCCTCCGCACGATCCCCAAAGGGGCGCACCGCTTCCTCAGCCTAAAGAGCTGCCTGAAAATCGGAAGCCCCGCTTGGTCCTCAGGGAGAGGGGGAGGAGTCGGAGTGGGAGCAGCTACTCTCCAACCAGAATCCCAAAGGGCTCCCCTCTTTTTCCGAACACGCGAGAAGCGTCGGGCTGGAAACTCGCACTCACCCCATCGCCTTGCTCGGCAGCGCGGTACAGGCCGGACACCATTTCGTTGTGCAACAAGAGGAAGAGAGCTTCGTCCGCCATCTCCGACTTATTCATGCCGAGCAGCTCCCACCTAGAGAAGGGACTGAAAGCCCCAGCCCACCCCGACGGAATACAAACCAACCCCAGGACCTCTTCGTTAAGATCCGAGGCGGCGTAACAAGGCAACCGGCGTCAGCGTCGGGGCGGAGCTTCCGGACGCTCCGGCCTCGGTTAGTTACCGCAACCGGTGGATACTGTAGTGTGGAGCGTTCTTCTAGCAAATGCGCTAATAGGCAAAGGGTAGTATTAAAACGTTTGCGGAACACGCGCTGGGTTCGTTTCGAAATAATGGATAATTTTCTTGCAGAAAAGAAAAAAGAACCGTAAGAGAAATATATTAATTATAGTGCTGTGGATCGATGGTTCCTAATTGACTAGAAGCCAATATTTTTAGTCCCTCCTTTGAGCATAAAGCCAGCTGCATGACCTTGGGCCTGTCAATCTCAGCTTTTTTTGGGGGGGGGGGGGAGGAAAAGGCAAGGGAAAACCACTCCAAAATCTTTCCAAGAAAACCATAGGAACATTGTCGGGCAATTGCCAAGAGTCGAGACTGGCTTGAAAGCAGCCCCAAAAGTATTTTACATCTCTATGCTACCACAATCAAAACGAAGGCTCACATACGAAACAATCAAACGTAGCACAAACAAAAGCATAATACTGCAAACTATAAATAAAATACAAAGATAGCAACATGAAGTCACTGACACTTAATTCCATCTAGACGTAAATAAAAACGATCTTTATTGCGGTATATGCTTTGAAATTCAAATCACGAACAGAGGAAACCGCCCCCCCCTCAAACTACTGAAAGCCAGAGAGGCGCGCGAACTTTAGCAGGGATTATCCTAGTGTGGAAAAAGGGCATTAACATTTTCGCCGATCACTGATTGGCTGTGCTGAAAGGTAAGTATCATTTGATTGGTTGTAAAGATATCATTCTACTCAAGCATTTAGCTATTGGCAGGATTACAGAAGCAAAGGGATTAAGTGCTTGAAGTAACGTTGCGTCCTTAATGTCAGTTCTTCATTGGTTAAGAACTTGATCGTTGATTGAAGCAATGCAATGCCACTCATACTAATCGGTTGGCCATTCGCTAGAGGTTACGAATAGCTCTTGGGTAAAAAAGGTATCACTCCAAACGTCGAGTTCTCATTGGTGAGTTTCTTGGAGCCACGTTACGTGAAGCTGGGCTATCTCCTTGCCCCCCTTAATCGTGCTTTCCGTTGGGTTCCGGTTGGCTAGGCCGTGGTTGTGGCGGCAAGCATGGCGGTAGCTGTGCGGGCTCTACAAGAACAGCTGGAGAAAGCCAAGGAAAGCCTCAAGCACGTCGATGAAAATATCCGCAAACTCACGGGGCGGGACCCCAACGATGTGCGGTAAGCCCATAGCGGGGGAAGAAGGGTCGTGGGGTTTGGAAGAGGCTTGCTTACTTAAAGGCTGCTTTGCGGTTGACTTCTGACCGCGAGGCCTTGTTTGCGCCCTCCCTTCAAAAACCAGTCCGGGGGGGGGGGGTAGGTGGCTTGCAGTTTCTACCCGTTACTAATCGAAGCAGATCGGGCGCCTTCTTCCATAGAAGAGGCCCTCTGTGAGCGTCCTCACCGATTTTTTTCCCCGCGCCCGGATGGAAATGACCAGAGGGCCAAAAAAGAGTGGAGGCACCCGGAAGGACGGAGGAATTTTGCTTAGAGGGCAGCTTGGCGGTGCATCAGTTAATGGTGCCGGCATGAGCTGGGAAACGCTGCAGCTCTCTGCAAACACGAGGCCCCTGGCGTTGCTCTTTGAGAGGCGGATGTTTCTTTACTGTACTTCCTTCATCCTCTTGGCGATCACGATTTCATTGTGTGTCTCCTCCCTTCTAGGCCCGCTCAAGGTAGATTGTTGGCCATCACAGGCCCTGGTGGAGGTAGGGGGCGCGGAAGCCTATTGCTGAGGTGAGTGTTCGAGGACCTGCGAGAGGAAAGAACTATTTCATACTGCCCGCAAATCTTCTACTGTGGAAATTCAGCTTCCGTTTTAACTGATTTATCGGTATATATTTAAGTCTGACTTAGCAGTTTTAAACAAGTGCCATGTACAGTGTGTGTTTGTGATAGTCATAACTGTGTTCTGGGTGGCAAGCAGTGTACACTTGAAAGCGACCACTGTGTTATTGTTCGGGAGGTTCAACCTTTGGACTACTGCTGCTGCCCGAAAAATATTGTATGGGGATAGTTCAAGTTAGGAAAAAAAGCTATAATCAACTGCACTTTGGATTAGCATACTGGAATTATACAAGACTGCAGAAAATCCAGTGCAGAAATGACTTCAATTGATCTGTAGGCTTCTATTATAATTCTAGAGTAGACAAGCAAACAATCAAGAATGATCATTGTTTATAAGCTGCCTAGAGCAGTGGTTCTCAACCTTTCTAATGCTGTGACCCCATAATACAGTTCCCCATGTTGTGGTGACCCCCAAGTGGGTGTGGCCACCAATAAGAGGGAGTAGGGCAGCTAGGGAAAAGGGAAAAAAATGGCCGACAGCGTGGTTTGGCGACCCCCGTGAAATGGTCATTTGACCCCAAATGGGGTCCTGACCCACAGGTTGAGAACCACTGGCCTAGAGTCACTGTGAGCGGATAGGCGGCTAATAAATTTTCTAAAAAAAATCAGTGAAATTCAAACTTATTATGCTGCTGTAGTCTACTACCATGATGCCCACAATAGGGATAGAGTCAGAAGCTTTAGTAAATATATATGTGTGTGCTTGTGTGTAATTATTACTCTCTACCCATTATAAGTTTTATTCATTTTAAATAGAAAAATGTTTCTTGTATTGTCTTGCTTAATACTAATAGCTTCACTTATTGCATTTCTGTTTCACCTTTCATGAAAAAACTAATAGTTGGCTATTTTTTAAATACTGCATACATCTTCATAGAACATTATATGTTTCTGAATATATGCATTTGTTTAGAGAAAGCTAATTTTCTGTTTTTATGGTAGGCGTGGATTCTCGGATAGCGGCGGAGGACCCCCAGCCAAACAGAGGGATCTAGAAGGGTCGACGAATAGGTGAGCAAAGAATACTTACACTTAGATTGAAGAATCAAATTATTTTCATATCTTACCATATTCAGTGTATCTCTTTGCTACATTTTGGTTAATTTTCTGCCAAGATCCATATGCTATGTACTGTAGAATATGCCACGGTGATTAGTTTACACACAGTGTGTAGCTTCATTTGGCAGGTTTGCACGTCTCATTAAGTACTGGTATTTATATCTTGCCCGACTCCAATCAATTCTAGGCAGTTTAAAAATATACTGCTCAAAAAAATAAAGGGAACACAAACGTATAGGATCCTATACGTTTGTGTTCCCTTTATTTTTGTGAGCAATATATTTTAATTTTTTTTTTAAGACTGCAAACCTCTCTGATAAGAACAAAAGAAGAAGAAAGAGGGGCTCAAAAGAAGAAAAGGGGGTCATTATACATGCCAAATGACTGGACAAGGAGCCAGGTCTTCAGGGCCTTTTAAAACACTAGGAGGGTAGGGGCTGTTTGAATCTTGGGGGAAAATCCATTCCAGAGGGCAGGTATTGCTGCTGAGAAGGTGTGTTTCCTGAGTCCCAGTAGATAGCATTGTTTAATTGAAGGAACCTGGAGCACCCCAATTTTGCCAGATCAATCATTTTATGGCAAATCACACAATGCTTAAAGAAATTCATTCTCCCTAATGGACATTTTTTGCTAAAAACCAGCAAAAAGATCACAAATTGTGATAATGTGACTGCAGATGCTGTAACCAATGGTAAATGTGAGCCAGTTGCCAGGTGACAAAATCACAAACATGATTACAGATATGTGTGTGGAGTTTGCAACATTTGTGACAGCTGAAAGTGCATGCTTCTTAAATGAACAGTTGTGAGATGAGCAGCATCCCTCATTACTAGTTTCTATCAGAAGTGAGCATACAACTGTTTGTTTTAAAAACATTCCTTCCACAATGCAATTTAATAAAAGAAACTATCAGCTAATGCCAAGTTCTGGAATTCTGCATAAGTGCAAAAGTTTGATTATCTCAAATATATTGCTTGCTTCTAACACTTTGTATTACATTTAGATTGGCTGGTGAACGTCGGACAAGGAGAGAATCACGCCATGAAAGCGACGCAGAGGATGATGATGTTAAAAAAGTAAAGTATATTTGAAATGTTATTGGGGGCTTAAGAACAGAGAAATGTAAAATGCAAGGGTTGCCTTTGGCAAGATGAGCAGCATATAAGTTTAATAAATGGGTTTCTATTAACCTATTTCTTCAGCCAGCGTTGCAGTCCTCTGTTGTTGCTACCTCCAAAGAGCGAACACGCCGAGACCTTATTCAAGATCAAACTATGGATGAAAAGGGGAAACAAAGGTATTGCATGATCTTTCATGTTTTAAATTTTCCCAATTCCAGCAGCAAGAAACAAAAGCAATCTCACTTTGAAGAACAGTAGAATATGTTGATAAGACATGCTGACAGTATTCCGTGCTGTGAATTATGCTAAGCAATTTAGCTGAAGCTGTTGTTTACTAGATCACCTATAACTGTCTTTCCAACAAGCAGAGCCACAGAATACCTGATCATACATAAGCCAAAATAACATTTGGTACCCACCAACATTCCAAATATCAAATATGTTTGATATTAGGAATGGATGTTTTTGCTATTTGTTTCATCTCAGCTTGGTCTGAACTGAGAATAGAGATATTTTACAAAATGCCTGTAAAATGTATATTTCTGAGTTAGGTATGAGTTTGTCCTATCACATTTTACTGCTAATGTCTCTTAAGAAGGGCCTTTTCTACAGATTTCAATGGACAGGTACATCATGGAAGAAGCAGACATTTAAATAGATAGGTCTTGAATTATTCCAGCTGTAAAGGTGAATACCATCATCTTACATTTTATCATTACAAGTAACATTTAGCAGTTATATCTTACAGTATACACATTTTTGGATCCTGGTATTTTATACGAATTAAAAGGGTAGATGCCATATTTTAAACATGATTTTCAGAGACCAATGCCGTGTAATGAATATCCATCTAATCAATTTATGTTATGAAAAAATAATTTAATCAGGATGTTAAAATCAGTTTTTTTTAACTTAGTGAGTTGGATTCAGAACTTTTTATTCTGTGAATAAGATTGCTACCAAACAGAACTGCTCTGTGCACTTCTGCTAGCAGAAAAGAAAGGCAATTTTATTATTTCTTTTTGTAGCTTACAGCTATATTTTTCTTTTGGCTTTAGACAGAAGGGGTTTGGATATGGTATTCATCTGTCAGAAGCTGCTTTTAGGGAAGAAATAGGGCATTACAGAGAGAATGGGAAATCTGCAAAGATATTATCAGTTCCCCCCAAAATCTATTACATCAAAAACAATGATCCAATCCAGTTTCTGAGTGGAAAAATACTGCAATATTTAATTAAAATGTACAGGTAGTCGTCAACTTATACCCACAATTGAGCCCAAAGTTTAGGTTGCTAAGTGAGAAATTTGTTAAGTGACTTTTGCCCCATTTTACAACTTTTCTCGCCACATTTGTTAAGTGAATCACTGCAGTTCTTAATAATACAACTGTTAATTGAATCTGATTTCCTCATTGACTTTGCTTGTCAGAAGATTGAAAAAGGAAATCACATGACTCCAGAACACTGTAACCGTCAAAATGTGAGTCAGTTGTCAAGTAGCCGAATCTAAACCATGTGATCGTGGGGATGCTGCAATGGTCATAAGTGAAAAATGATTATACGTTACTTTTTTCAATGCCGTAACTTTGAATGGTCACTATAAATGAACCTTTTATAAGTCGAGGACTACCTGTATTAACATAGACTGTGGGATATAGCAAGAGCATTTAGGCTTATATACTGCCCTATAGCACTTTACAGCACTTTTTGATGTAACTAATATTTGCATAGCACCCCCAACAATCTGGCTCCCCATTTTAACAATCTCAGAAAGATGGAAGACTGATTCAACTTTGAGTGCTGTCAGGATTGAACTCCAGGCCGTGGGCAGAGTTTGCCTGCAATACTGCACTTAACCACTGCACCAGCAACAATCCTGGAATACCTATTTTCTGGTTAGCATTTAATATTATATAAACTAAGTCTACTGGTTGCTGATTTTAAAAAATAATTTTATTTGGTTAGTTAATAATCACATTTATAACCACCAGCTCAGCCACATAGCCCTGGTATTTTACAATAAATATTTATAGCTGCTAATAACCTTGGAAATTTTTGAAAAAACTGCCATGTATACATAATACAATACCAATATTTGTGGTATAATTATATATTTTCTTTCTGTATTCTGCCAGGAATCGGCGTATATTTGGCCTGTTGATGGGTACTCTTCAGAAGTTTAAACAAGAATCAACAGTTGCTACTGAGAGGGTATTAATTTCACATTTAGTAAATTGTGCAGGAAAAAAATAGTACTTCTGTGTAATAGAAAAATACACAATCTGGCGGCCATATCAATTCCAGCCATGTATATGTTTTATTTTGAAACAACTTTTAGGAGGACATGTTTAATTATCAGAGAAAGCAAAATGTTTTGGTACATTTTTTCATATTTACAAACAAGGATATGAGATCATCAAAATTTAACTTTAGTAGTAGGGAAACCAATAATGCATTTGCCATGATATAACAGATCTGAACTGTTTTATTTTAGCGAAGCAGGAAGTGAGAGAGCAAGCTTCTACTAGTCATTAGAAGTGACAGGGAACAAGTCCTGTAGATTGTAGCGTCACTTGGAACAAGCTTCCAGTAACAGAATTTACTTCCATCTGATTACTGAAAATGTTGATCTCAGTTTCTTATGCCATAATTCATCCTATTTAAGGGAATTTCTGTATATAATTTCTTATGAGTTCATTCTAAGGGCTGGCAAAGGAAAGACAGAGCAGGAAAATAAATTTTGAACTCCATCAGCATAATATTAGAAGAAACCTCTGAAATATATTTGATCTTAGGTTATATTTTATAAAATTCTATATTACTTTTGATTATGGTGTTCTACAGAACATTGGGGATGATCTTTATTTCAGTATTAATTTCCTTAAACCAGATCCCCATCTACAGTATGTATTTTGGGAAAGAATACTTTTGTTTAACTTAAAACAATTGAATTGATTCAATTTGTGCATTATGATGACCTACTTAACTAAGAATGCTACTATTGAATTAAGTTTAAGCTGTTCTATTTTAGCAAAAAAGAAGACAAGAAATTGAGCAGAAACTTGAAGTGCAGGCAGAAGAAGAGAGAAAGCAGGTTGAAAATGAAAGACGAGAACTCTTTGAGGAAAGACGTGCTAAACAAACAGAACTACGACTATTGGAACAAAAAGTTGAACTTGCTCAGTTGGTGAGTGGAAATTTAGTAGCTATTGCATATTTCTCTTCTGGATGGCACCAGAAATATTTAAAAAAATCATATATATTTTTCCAGCAAGAAGAATGGAATGAACATAATGCCAAAATAATTAAATATATAAGAACGAAGACAAAACCTCATTTGTTCTATAAACCTGGCAGAATGTGCCCTGCTTCCCAGAAGATGTTTGATGATTCCCAAAAAAAGTTAAATGGTATGTTGTTGTATTTTTATTTCTGTATTGCCATAGTAGATTGTTAGCTGCATCTACTTGCATGTAGGTTTTCTCTCAGATGTCTTACAAACTTGGCTTTCATGTATATAGAATCTTAACGTAAAACATGTACTTCTGTATGCAAGTAGATGTGGCAAAATAACAAATGTGCTGGTCATACGATGACTGATGGAATTCTTGACTTTCCTACATAGATTATAATTTCTCTGATACTGATATTATGTACTCTGATACCGTTATGTAAAGTGATTTATTCAAACTATGACTCTAATTGCTGTTTATTATACCTTCCCTATTCTTCAGCACTGTTTGAAAATAGACGCACTGAATTTGCTGAGCAAATTAATAAAATGGAAGCCAGGCCCAGACGACAGTCTGTGAAGGAAAAAGAACACCAGGAGGTACAGAAAGAAGAAAAGAAGGAAGACCAGAACAAGGAGCAGGAAGTGGGTAAGGTGGTACAGCAGGTGGAGGAGATGGAGACAGGTAATAAGAGCAATGATATAGAAATGGAAGAGGTAAGGGAAGAAAAGGAGGTAGGTGCTAGTCATAGTGATGGGGAGATAGAACAGGAAGAGGAAGAGCAAAAAGAGGAAATGGAAGTTAAAGTAGAAGAGGAAGCTGAAGTTAAAGAGAATGACAGGCAGACAGATAACCCAACTGAGGAAGTTGAGGTAGTGAAGGGAGAAAGTGAAGGTATTCAGCCAATAGATGGTGAGCAGGATGTAATGGAAATCAATGAGACAGATTGTACAGAGCCATTAGAAACAGAGCCGTTAGAAAATGAAATTAGCACAGAGGTTGAACCAGAAGTGGAATGTAATGCTCAGCCAGAACAGGAAGGGCTCATTGTGGTCCTTGAAAAAGAGGAACCCGGCAAGCCAGAAGTTGATGCTGAACCAGAGGAGTCAGAAGAGAAGGAGCCTGAATCCATTCCAGTATCGGAGGCTGAGGTCCAGCCTCAGTCAGAGTCTGTGATTTGGCCACAGCCTTTGCCACTTTTGGAATCCACTCAAGACCAAGCACCACAATTAGATAAAGAAGCTCTAGTGTCTGAAAAGCTGCCTGAAATACAGGCAGATCAAGTGCAGGCAGTAAGTGTAGAAATTAAAAACAAAATTAGGAGCAGAAGCAGGGGTAGAGCAAGAAACAAAACCAGTAAGAGTCGAAGTCGGAGTACTAGTAGTAGCACTAGTAGTACTAGTTCTACAAGTAGTAGCAGTGGGAGCAGTTCTAGCAGTGGTACAAGCAGTAGTCGGAGCAGTTCCAGCAGCAGCAGTAGCAGTGGTACTAGTAGTCGAGAAAGTACTAGTAGTTCTAGCAGCAGTGAGAGTAGAAGTCGAAGCAGGGGGCGAGGACATAATAGAGATAGAAAGCATAGAAGGAGTTTGGAACGGAAGCGAAGGGACAATTCAGGAGTAGATAGAAGTCACAAGTCTTCAAAAGGTAGCAGAAGAGATGCAAAAGGATCAAAGGATAAAAGCTCAAGGTCGGACAGAAAAAGGTCTATATCAGAAAGTAGTTGGTCAGGCAAAAGGACTTCACGGAATGAAAGAGACCGTAAATCAGACAGGAAAGACAAAAGGCGTTAACAGAAGAGACCAGGCACCTACCCTAATTTTTGCAGCAGAAGATTACTTGAGTGAAGAGAGTCCATATAAGGAAGAAAAGGCTGCTTTAATTGCATGCTGTGTAAAATCTTTTGAAGACTCTTTACCAGGCAATTGTGCTTTTTACATGATTTTGTAAAAGGTTACTTATCAAATTATGTGAAGATGCAGATGTGTAAAATAAAATATTGAAACCCCTCCATTTTTTAAGTATCCTCTACTTCAAAGTTTCTTGTATATTTTAAAAGGTACATAGTTAAATTTGTGTGATTCAATTGTATCATAAGTCTCTTTTTGTAGAAATAAATGTCTTTTACAGAGGTTTGTGAGAGCCTGTTGCTGCTTCAACTTGCATAGAAAACTTTCTCCTTTTATTGGCAAACCCCATGCAGAGTGTTTAATATTCTGCACGTTAGCCTTTCCTACTTAATTGTAAAGAAGAAAGTGAATTTCCAAATCCCATGAAGATGTGTCTGCTTTCAGTTAAATTTGATTCAAGCTTTTACTATTGTTTCTTAAGATAACTACCCATGTATGAAAGCAAAATAAGTACATCAGGCTAATTATAATTTTTTTGAACACATAATGTTCTATTTTGTGATTCCTATAGTTACATAAACTTTGCCTTTCTCTAGGATAATGATACTCAGTGTAGCTTTTTTTTTTATTAAAAAAAAACTTGCCTTTCTGTGTTTTGCTGTATGATAGAAGAATGCCATGTGTCTCTTGTAAAGCTAGATGATTATTGGCCATCCACACCTTTTCAAATTGCAGTATAAATGGGTTGCATAGTTCGTTTGGGGCTAATGTTGTGCTTAAAAATGCGTGTTGAGTGAGGAACGTGAACTTGGACTTTTTTTGTAATAAAGCAAATAGATGGCAGTTTAGTTGGTGTGGAATGGTATTCTGTTTTTAAGCTTTTTATACAATTAGTGTATTTGTTAGCCTGTTCTGTAATAGTCCAAATAAAATTAGCTTTATCTACATTGCTTGTATTTTCTACTATTTAATTAAATGTTCTTTTTGGTTATCTGTCAATATAAAAATTCTGGTAATGTGAAACTACTAAAACTTTTAAAATCAATCAAAGGGGCAAGACACACACTTCGTTTTTACATTTTAACTATACCATCAGGAAGGAGCTAACTATGTCCGTTTTAGGTTCATGTGGCAGGAAGTTTTTGGTAAAAGCTGGGAGAGAAAGAAGCCATAGGACCCATAAAATACTCCATTAATTATTTAATTCTACTTCATTATCACTTAAGTTTGCTTATCTCTGGTTGGAATGCAGTATTACAGGCTATTTTTGCTGATTACCAGCAGTTCAATTCTCACCAGCTCAACCTTCCGAGGTTGATAAAATGAGGACCCAGATTGTTGGGGGCAATATGCTGACTCTATTTAAAGAGGACTGTAAAGCACTATGAAGCAGTATAGAAGTCTTATTGCTATTGTTATCATCCTTGATTTCAGTAACGGGAACCCATTTGCAAGATGTATAGTGTCAAAACCGCAACCTTCAGCTAATCTATGCAAAAGATTTGTGCCTTTTTTTCCTGTGCTCTAAGTACTAATTTTAGCAATAAATCAGTTAACTTGAACCTTCAAGTGTAGACCTAGTCTTTCATGCCTGACAGTTTCTGCCATACTTATATTAGTTTAACTCTTGGGTGCCAAGATTCAGGATCACATATATGTTCCAATTCAGAAGATTTACTGCTCAAACCTATACACAAGAATCTGGTCAACCAACTGTAAATAGTTTGAAAACCCAAATGGAATTGTTACCTGCAATTTTAGGCTTCATTATTGGCATTTGAAAAGTCAACATTAGCACTTTTAACATGGCAGTCTAGGCATCTTTTTTAACTTCAGGGAAATATTTTTCTATTCTTAGCCAAGGCCATTTCTTCTAGTATATGAGATTTTGTTTTTTCAGCAAAAACACTATAGAACAGGGGTCCCCAGCCCCCAGTCTGTGGACCAGTACTGGGCTGCAGTATGCCAGCAACAGGGGTGCATAAACAAGCAAAGCTCTATCCACAAGATGCAGGCAGCACATAAAACTACGTACTCTCCGGTCCATAGAAAAATCTTCATGGAACTGTTCCTTGGTGCCCAAAAGGTTACGGATCTCTGCTATAGAAAATGTATTTTTTAGTCATTGAATACACGGGCAAGTTTCAGGAGAGATTCAAACTCAACTAAAAAAGGGAGTATGTAACTCATAAATCTGCCAGAGTAACAGAGTTGGAAGGGACCTTGGAGGTCTACTAGTCCAACCCCCTGCTCAAGCAGGAGACCCATTCTAGCTGTTAATCTCTTGTTAAAAATCTATACTGATGGAGCACCCGCAACTTCTTGAGGTAAACCATTCCATTAGTTAATTGTTCTGTCAGGAAATTTCTTCTTAGTTCTAGATTGGATCTCTTCTTGATAAGTTTTCACATACCAGTATCATTTCTTGCCCTACTGTCAGGTGCTTTGGAGATAGGTTGACCCCCTCTTCTCTGTGATAGCCCCTCAAGTACTGGAAGACTGCTATCATCTACCCCGGGGGTTCTCAACCTTGGCAACTTTAAGACTTGTGGACTTCAACTCCCAGCCCCCCCAATCATCTTTGTTGCTCTTCTCTATACTCTTAGAGTTTCAACATCTTTTTTGTATCATGGTGACCAAAACGACACAGTATTCCAAGTGTGGTCTTACCAAAGCAATGTAAAACAGTATTAACACTTCATGTGACCCTGATACTATACCTCTTTTGATTACTAGAAGCCTGTATGGATTTGTCAAATACAATTCACACCAGACAAACCTTATTGCGTTCATTGACAAAGACTAAATTACAGTAGTGGACCAGCAAAATGCTGTGGACATAGTGTAGACTTCATGAGGCATTTCAGAAAGTAGACTACAACCTATTTCTTGGTAAGAGAAAAATGTGGGATAGACAACATCACCACCAGATAGATTCATAACTGACTGACCAACCATACACAATGTGTAGTACGCAATGGAACTACATCTATATGGAAGAAAGCATGCAGTAGGTAACCCAAGGTTCTGACTTAGGCCCAGTACTCTTCAATATCTTCATAAACAATTTAGATGAGGGAATAGAAGGGGAACTCATCAAATTTTCAGATGACACCTATCTGGGAATAGACAACACTTTAAAAGATAGGCTCAAGATTTAGAAGGATTTAGATAGACTTGAACACTGGGTCCCATCCAACAAAATGCAATTCAATGATAAGCAAAGTAAGGTTTTACACATAGGTGGTAGATATGAACTAATAGTGTGCTAAGCCTCCCATATAAACAATATGTTTGATCACTTGTTTTCTGATGTATCACATATACTAAAGATATATGTCACTTGTTTCTATAAAAAGACTTCGCCCCGCCCCCAATAAATGTGTTTTGATTTGTCTGAATTATCATGATTCGTATTTCCAGATGGACAAAAAGGCCTTTTGCAAAGGTAAAAATGTCTCTCAAATTCAGGGATCAAGTTCTCAAAGCTTCATGCCACACTCTTGAGTATGGAGGCAACAATTCTCTTTACATCTTTTTGGATCTTTCTTCTGAGCTTTGTATCACCTCCAAATTCTGCAAGTATTGTCTGTATTCAGTCATCTAAATTATTGATAAAATGTTAAACAGCAGAGAGCCCAGGAGAGCACAGAGACACTTCACTCAAAATTTCCCTCTAAGTCTGAAATTGAACCATTAACTAGCACTTTTGGAGTACAACCAGGAGACTGTCAGTTCTAATCCCACCATAGACTCACTGGTGACGTTGGGTCAGTCACTCTCTCTCAGCCCAACTCACCTCACAGAGTTATGCGGAAAACAGGAGAAGGCGGGAGTATTAGGTATATTCACCACCTTGAGTTATCTATAAAAATAAAAGTTTGATAAAAACAAATAAAAATTACTATTTCAAGATGAGCATCCTGAAAGATGTAAAGATTTTGCTGAGGCCCGGATACATGATGTCTACAAAATGATCTATGAAGCTATTAACTTTATCAAAGAAGGAGATGAAAATTAGCCTGTTAAGATTTGTTTGAACCTGATACTTCAATATAATCTTCAGAGCTTTTGTTTCTTTCATTATTTGGGGAATCAGTATAGTGCCCTGCTATACAATCTCACTTGGAACTTCTGTATTGACTAATGAGAGGTCAGATTTAAATAGGAAAACAATGGAACCTTGGAGAAAGGCAATTGAGTACTATTGAAAGACAGTTGAAGAATAGACAGGAAGCAGATAAGGATGAAACAACAGGTCAGAATTTTGTTAAACTTTGTAACTGACCAGTAGGCTTCCTTAGATTGTTCCTTGCTGTTTTATTTGCAGTACAAATTATTTAATAAAAAAATAAAAACCAAGCAAATAAATTTTGAATACTATTTGAATTTTTGAATCACTGGTAACTGAATATTCCAGATGCATCTAAAAGCCTTCTTTCAAAATTTTATAATACTTTTATGCTCTGGGAAAAAGATTTGCGACTGGTGATAACCAAGATGGGAATAAAACATTGAAATGGAAAACTGGCATTTTATGTCTAAAGTGCAGATGATATTCTTCAATTATTTGATCAATTGAACTCTCTATAAATTAGCATGCATGAAGAAACAAAGTTTCTCTGTAACAGCTGCAGAGAAAGGGAGATATATTTTCATCTGTGGGGTTCATTCCACTGTGCCATTTTTGTCTTGTTTTTTTCAGATGTTGATAAATTCATATATTAAATATATTAAACAGTGCATACTTGCACTGTTAGATTAGGAACAATGAGGAAAAGTGCTTTTTTAATCTGTACTCTTGAGTGATTTTTTCTTCTTTTTATGTAATGTTGGGGGGGTGCTTTTTAATCTCATGAATCATTTTGGAATTGAACAGTCTAGAAATTTAACTAAAATAAAATCAAAATTCCTTGGTATCAATAGAGATATTATGTCTAAAGACTTGGCAGTATTTGGTTGTCAGCTGGATAAGCTGTGTGTAGATAGAAACGGAAAAAATAAAATAACTGTTTTAAAATGTTTAGTAACAGAATAACAGAGTTGGAAGGAACCTTGGAGATCTTCAAGCAGGAAACCCTATACCATTTCAGACAAATCGTTGTCCAATCTTTTCTTAAAAACCTCCGGTATATTGCAATCTTGTTCACATCAAGTTGAAGCCAAAGTATTTTTAAATATATGGTCTGATTTTATAATTTATTTCAATTGGGAAGTATGGCTGTCCTCTTATCAGTTAAAAATATATAGATGTGTCTGGGTAGGTTTATGTGCATATACATGCACATGCATGCTTAAGTCTTGGTAGTATTAACAGAGGGATAGAATCAAGATCACGTGAAGTTTTAATACCACTTTATAATGCCTTGGTAAGGCCACACTTGGAATACTGCATCCAGTTTTGGTCACCACGATGTAAAAAAGATGTTGAGACTCTAGAAAAAGTACAGAGAAAAGCAACAAAGATTATTAGGGGACTGGAGGCTAAAACATAAGGAACGGTTGCTGGAATTGGGTATGTCTAGTTTAATGAAGAGAAGGACGAGGGGTGACATGATAGTGTGGGAAGTCAGCCCCCCAGAGAAGGAAATATTAAAATGGCAGAAAAATATATTTTCTCAAAGGATCTTAAAGAGGCAGAAAAGCATGCCCAGTTTTTCTTAATAGCCCCAGGTCTCCCTCCCTCAAGCAGAAACCAGCTCTGTAGAAATGCAGATGATAATCTTGTCAGAAAGACTGGAGTCAGGAAACTGGGATTAGGAAGAAAGATCCCTAGAATCAACACCAAAAAAATCTAAGAGTCATCAGCCACAGCCACAGGGAAGCAGGATATAACCTTTGGGACATAATAGGATTAACCCACCACCATCAGAATACCAGAAAGGCACACTCAGATTCAGGTCAAAGTCCATGTCATAGGAACAACCCCAAACAAAAGGCTCCAGAGGGTATAAAAACCCACTCCCTACATGTGCTCACTCTCTTTTCTTCCAGAGCCATCTTTCTGTCTGGCTCACCTTCTTCCTAAAGCAGTCGCCATGTTGTTTATTCTCGGCTTGGACTGAACCATGATGAAGACTTTTCCTTCAACAACAGCAGTGTTCCAATATCTCAGGGGTTGCCACAAAGAAGAGGGGCTGTTCTCCAAAGCACCTGAGGGCAGGACAAGAAGCAATGGATGGAAATTAATCAAAGAGAGAAGCAACCTAGAACTAAGGAGAACTTTCTCTGACAGTTAGAACAATTAATCAGTGGAACAACCTGCCTCCAGAAGTTGTGAATGCTCCAACATTGGAAGTTTTTAAGAAGAGACTGGACAGCCATTTGTCTGAAATGGTATAGGGCTTCCTGCTTGAGCAGGGGGTTGGACTAGATGACCTCCAAGGTCCCTTCTAACATCATCATCATCATTATAATATAGCTAACAAACAAAAGAAACCACTCAGTAAACTGACTCCTGTACTAAATTGAAGCTACAGTCCTATTATTCATGCTTAATTGACAGAAATAACCACCAAACATGGAATAATGTCCAAGTGAATTTGCCCAGGTCCAGGATCAAACTCTAAAACAAACATATAAATTCAGCTATAGGGCTTGAAAGACAGAGATTCAAACAACTACAGAACTCAAGCGATTTTGAAAAAAATCACATATTAATCTTACTAGAAACATTTCTTCCTATAATGTACAAGTCACACAATTTGCATTTTCAGATTAGTATGCTGGTAAAGCAGAATTCTCTAATTAAAGTAACTTTTGGGAATAACTTTTTTGTTTTAAAACCTTAATCCATGTATTGAGCATGGTTAATTATTAAAGCAGGACAGCTGACTCAAAATAGTGTTGAAAGGGCATTTGTGGGAGCAGAGTCTAAAGAACAGAAGAAAATGAATTGACCAGTTCTTTTTATCTTTACAGCCTATTAACTAAAGGAATTGAAAAACTATTCTGCTCATGAGACTCTCATTTTTAAACATTCTTTCAGGAGTAATATTTTTTAAGAATGTTGAAAATTTTAGACATTAGTCTTATACTATTAATTATTTCATTGTCAACAAACACAAAGAGTACTAAAGTGCTTTCAGCACAGAAAAAGTGTGGAGATTCAGAATGCGAAAGTAAGTACAAAGATCTTTGCTTTAACCAAATCTATTCAACAGTGTATTAATATTGCAAAACTCTACCAATATATTTATTTGAAAAGTTTGGGAAGTTAATTTGAAAAGCTATAATTTGAAATTATAAGGAAAAGTGCTACCAATATGTCCACTTTATGAAAGATAAATTAATAATTTTCTAACGTGGATTTTTTAAAAAAGAGAAGTCATTTGCTGAGGCTATAAATAATGCAACTCTTTTTTCAAACTGTCGCATATCCTCATGGTTCTAGGAGAACTTGATGGGATTCCAAGAGAGACTAAAGGCAAAAGAAATAATTAGATTAGAAATCAATCTCAGCCAATTTTCTTTGCTTCATGATATGGAGCTCTGAAATTTTTTTAACAAGTTCCATAGCCTGAAAAATTAAGTGTTCAAAGATTTTAATTGATAAAATTCAATAGCAAATTGTTAACAGATCCTAGAAATAGAACCTCAGATTACAACAGCATTAATTGTGTATTTGTATCTACTAGCTATGAAGTTAATAATGTAATGTTTATATTTCTATTAATATTAATTATTGGTAAATTATAGAACATATAAGGAGAATATATTTGGCTAGCTTTCTTTTTTAGTATTTCAGTCAGAACATTATTAAAAAATCCTGCAACATTTTTATGCAAGTTACTTAATTTGCAAAAAGTAAACCCTATTAAATCAACTGTGCATATTTGGAAACACAGAAGATGTAAAAAGTCTATACAGAATTGTTAATGAATATAATCTGTACAACGCTGTCCTAAAATCAAAGGTGCTTCAACAAAGTATTGATTTAAGAATGTGCACATTTATGCAATCAGTATTGTTAAGTTTTTTATTTTCCCCTAAAAGATTTCAGTTTGTTTTTCAATTGAATTGTACAGTCTATATATTATATTAAAGGTGGAAAAAATTCTGAAATGATTTATCTTGGTTTGATTTTTTACAATTCAAAAACCTTGCATTTTAACAGGGGTGTATAGAATTTTTATATTCACTTCTGTATAATAAATGATAAAATAATTTTGGAAGGGTAAATTATCTTGTCAAATAATATCTACAGTCCTAATGGCAGAATAAATAGACTAATTATTAAGAAAAACTTACTCAGAAGTATTAAGAAAATGTATATAGCTGCCCAACTCATTCTAAGTGACTCTATGATTGTTTGCTTCTAGTAATAGGACAAGTGTGGATAATTTAAGATTAAAAGTTAAACCATTTTACATATTACATAAGGAGAACATGTTTGTGTTTCAGTGCACATGCAAACAGTATCTTAAGTAGCTGCATCTTTTTCCAAGATCACATAAATGCTTTGCGCAGTCCTGAGAAGAAACAGATCTAATTTAAAGAGTCGCCATATTGACTAGTGCATTATATTTTGTGTTTGTAAATAATGTGAGAAAAGTCTTTAAAATATCACCTCTATTTCCAATTTTTATCCAGCAACTATGAGCAGAGTATTAGCCATTAAAGACCACACTGGGCCTGACTGCCGCTACCTGAACTTCAAAAGTGGGGAAGAAATAATGGTATACTTCAAACTTTCCAGGGAAAGGGAAGATTTGTGGGCAGGAAGTGTAAGTATTAGGCAGCAATTTGCCTGAGAATGCCTATTTTTATTTATGACTACAACCTTAAGGGTTTTAAGAAAGTTAGGACATGGGGAGAGGGGAAGAATTGCCCCATCCTGCAGACAGGAGAGAAGGCTTTCCAATTTGAGTGAATATTTTAAATGGCTAGAATAGATGGAGCAATACTTTTCATTTAAAATTATAAACAAATCAATAATATATTTTTGGTCTTGCTGAATATTTCTATTTCCTGGGCAATTCACTTCAATAATAAAAACAATGAGGAAAGAATCAGATTGATGTAGGATATAGTTATAAAGTAGACCAGTGGTGGCAAACCTATGGCATGCATGCCAGAGGTGGCACTCGGAGCCCTCTCTATGGGCACACGTGCCGTTGCCCCACTCTCACCTCCTCCCACAACCCCCTCACCAGCAGCCCCCCTGGAGGAGAGTTGCCCTTGAGCGTGGCCCATACAGAGCAGCGCAGCCAAGGATATGGCATCCAGGCAGCGTAGACAAGACTCTGCCCTCACGCCCCATCCCGCACAGTTGATGCTGCAGGGTGTGGGCAGAGGGCGTGGCCACCATGGCGCTGCTGGGCTGCCTGAGTGATCTGCGGCGGGCCCTGGAGGCGGTGAGTGGCCCTGCAGGCAGACAGAGTGGGGGACAAGGTGGGGGCGGGGCAGGGCAGGGGTAGAGTGGGGGCCGGGCCAGTTTTTGGGCATTCGGTCTCTAAAAGGTTCGCCATCACTGAAATAGGCTGTCTCCTCGGGAATCTCAAAGACTTTAAAAGTCAGAGAAAACCCATGAACTAGCTAAAATTCATACTTCTTTCAGTCATAATTCTTATTCTAGATCACAAGTGTCAAATTCACCGTGTCACATGACATGTCGCAACGTACTGCAACTTTTTTTTTTGCATTGCCAGAGCTGGGGTGGGTGTGGCCTCCGTATGATGCAACTGGCCCACGGGCCAGCAATTTGACACCTGTTCTAGATTCAGTAACAGAAATCCCAGAATATTCTAGGTCTTAGACAAAATATACTTTGATGCAATGCTTTAAAAAAATATTGCTACAAACAGTTATTTGCATTCTAGGCAGCAAGCACACAAAACTTAATGTGTGCAACCAACTACTTAAAAAGTAATTGTGGTTCTCTTTGAAAGTTTTGTTTTTTTTTAATCATTGCATTTTGAGCTCAGTTCAAACAGAGGAGTCTCTGTCTAGGCAGAATGAAGGTTCTACCTGACTCAGTTCATACTCAATTGCCTACCATGAAAAGGCTTGTTTTTGAATTTATTGTTATTTCTTTAATTACCTGGTAGTGGGAGAAAGGCTACATTCTTGACTTGGGAGAAAAGACACTCTTACTGCTTGCCTTAGTAAGCTAAAAAAAAGAGTAGAGACTCCTTTTGATCTTTGCTTCTGGTAAATACCTGGGTACAATCATGCAGTTGTCTTGACAAAATAGTTTGCAATTGCTTTCTTCCAAATATTTTTTATGTTTCCATTTTATTCCTTGGTGGTTTCCATTGAAGTACTAACTAAGCCTAATTAGCTTCCAAATTTAGAGATCAGCCTGCCAACTTCTAAGATTCCCCTTTTTCCTTAATCTTTAAAGGCTTAGTTAATCTCTCTCTCTCTCTCTCTCTCTCTCTCTCTCTCTCTCTCTCTCTCTCTCTCTCACACACACACACACACACACACACACACACACACACACACATACACACACATCACCAATTATTAAGGCTGTCTCTACAGCTCTTCTCATAAAAGCTGAAACATTTAATGCCTCATTTATAATTCATTTGAAATGCTTTGGGGAAGATACTGGGTTTTGATTGTTTTTAATTTAAGCTTCAATCCTACACTTTTAGTAGCAATTAATCCTACTGATTATAGTGGATTTCTTCTAAGTAAAATTGTGTTGCTGAAGAAGTTAGATTTCTGGGATCTTTCCATGCAGACTGAGACAGAATTATTCTATTGGCATGTATGTACAGTACCTAACATTCTAATTGACTTACAGAAGCATCATAGAAGTATCTCTCTGTCAGGGGTATCCATTCTTTTTTGCAGGAGGATACATTCGGAAGTTTAAGATCATCGAACATTCCTTTTGCCTATGCACACAACTGCAGCTGGGCATCCTTTGGCTTATTGAAAGCCAGAGAAGATCTGATTTACCTGCTGTTCAGAATTCACAGGTTCTGATACTTTTATGAAAAGGAGGAAGGCAACATTGCATTATCACAACACAAACTCTTTTGTATATTTAACATTATGGTACATGTATAAATTAGAAGCTTATAGCTTTCATAATTTGCTCCTCTTCTGCAGATGCCTCTTGTTGCTTGTCACCTCTTAACCACAGAGGTTAATTCACATGGACTAACAGCATGCTAAAATTGGTACCCTCCAAATGTACAGGGAAGTTACTTCCATCTTGTCTAGCAATTATAACCAAAAGTAACATGATAGTCCAACAAACAGATGTAAGGATCTAATTGCTAAATATTAGATTAACAGGCTTAGCATTGTGTCATTTTGTCTCTTGATCTGGTGGATCAAAATATTTTTGTACTGCACAGATTTTAATATCTGCCTTAATAGTGTTAATGGTGATAGTTTTTGATATCTTATCGATATGGTGATTAGTATCTTTTTGAATGCTTTCAATTGACAGTGTTTCTGATAAAATACATTAGAGATAAAGAGTAGATCCTCACTATTAATCTATACAATTCTGGTTTTTTTTTTAGCCAGTAGTTCATATCCTAATTTCTCTTTAATTTAAACAGAATTGTTATGATAAAACATAACAATTGGTGGTATGATAAAACTATTTCCTTCTAAACTGAAACTGAGATCTATTGACATAATTTCAAGAAAAATTACTGATGATGAAATAGCATGACTACTCTTGATAATGTCCTATGGCATGTAAACTAAAAACAAATGTTTCTCTATTTAAAAAAAACAACAGAAGGGAGCAAATTTTCTGATGGAAAAAATAATTTTATTCACTAAATATAAGAGGAAAAAATTCTAGAGGTTCCTCTTATAATTTTTTTTCCACAAATATTTAAGTGGAAATCACGGTGTTCATAAATGCAATTTTCCCTTTTATTACAGAAAGGCAAAGAATTTGGTTATTTCCCAATGGATGCTGTCCAAACAGAAGAAGTATTTGTTACAAAAGAAATAGAAGTGCCCACAAAGGTAAATTAAAATGTTTCATGAACATCACAAATTCTCTAGCAGATTATTTCAAACAAAAACCCAAGAAGTTAATTTGGTGTATTGATCTGTTCATATAAATCATAGGTGTCCAACCTTTAGGCTTGCCTGGGCCACACTGACTGAAGAGGAAAACCATCACTTGACCCGATCTCCCTGGATAACTTTCATCCAAAGTCCCATTTTCCTCTTTTAGGGAAAGTGGTAAAAAAGGTGGTTGCTTCACAGCTCCAGGGCCTAGATGAAATGGATTTCCTGGGCACCTTTCAATCAGGATTCTGGCTTAGCTATGGGACAGAAACACTTTGGTTGCACTTATGGATGATCTCTGGCGAGAGTGGGATGGTGGTAGTGCAACCATTCTCTCTCTCTTTGATCTCTCAGCGTTCAATGCCATCAACCCTGGTATCCTTTTGGGTCAACTACATGAGTTGGGGCTGGGCAATACACTTTTGTGCTGGCTCAGTTCCTTTCTCCAAGGTCGGTCCCAATTGGTATTAATAGGGAATGAGGGATCCAGCCCACAATTGCTTGCTTGCAATGTCCTGCAAAACTCGATACTCTCTGCTCTTCTATTTAACTTCTATAAGAAGCCATTGGGTGAAATCATCTGTCACCATGGTTCTACATGAGGGTGAATGTTCATTCTCTGAGCTTGTGGGTTGGTTTCCGAAAGTTTCATTACCAAGCTAGGTAACATCTTCAGCAGAATTTAGGGGATGTCTGTGTCAGTGCTCTTCTGTTTATAAGGGCTTCAGGTGTGGGTGTGTCAAGTGAGGATCTTGTGAGGGGGTTTCTAAGGGGGTGAATTTTGATAATATTTTGTACAAAGAGTTACTTATTTGGTCAGGTACTGATTGGCAACTAAAGTCTTCAGACGTGCTAAGGCAAGAAAATATTTTACAATCATGGTTTCAATATTTGCAAATAGTGGAGAGGTGGACTTTAGATAAGAAAGTGGGAATTACTTTAGTAGATGAAAATTTGGTAATTCAGATTAAAGATCAGAAATACGCTCATATTAAAAGAACTTACAATGAGTTAATAAAATTGGATTCGGAAACAGAGTTAGTAAAAGATTGTACGATTAAATGGGCCCAGAATATTCAGGAACCGATTTCATTGGATTTATGGGAGGTAATTTGGATTAGAAATGTTAAATTTACGCAGGCTCAAAATTTGAGGGAAAATTTTTATAAAATGTTTTATAGATGGCATCTGGATCCTAAAAAGTTGTCTTGTATGTACCCGAACCTGCAACCTAAATGTTGGAGATGTGGTTGCTTGGATGCAACGTATTTTCATGTTTGGTGGACTTGTAAAAATATTAAAGCCTTTTGGATTATGATTTGGTGGAACATTCAAAAGGTTTTTAAAAGGAAGATTAAGTTTACTCCCCAGTTGTTTCTTTTGGGTATTTTTGTGGATTTTGATGCTAAAGAAACTATCTTAATGTTGAATTTAATAACAGCAGCAAGATTATTGGTGGGTCAATATTGGAAGAAGGATACTCTGCCTTCTTTAGAAGAATGGGTATTTAAGGTTTCTAATTTAGCAGAAATGGCTAAAATTTCTGCTTATTTAAAGGACCATCCACAAGAGAGATATGTTATTGTATGGAGAAGATGGATAGAATATGTTCAGAAGAAATATGGAACTACAAAGTTTCATTTATTTTATGAGTAATGGATTTGTTTATAAACTTATGATGTTAAAGTTTGAAGAGAGTTAAGGATTAGTATGATTTTGGTTATTGTATAATTAATAAACTTAAATAGATTGTTTAATATGTTTGTATAACCCTGTACTTGGCTCTGGGAAGTCGGGGGGAGGGGGGTGGGGGGAGAATGGGTTGAAGCTTAAAAGTAGCTAAGATAAGTAGAAATAGTTTTATTGTATATAATATTGATGTTTTAATTTGGAGAGAGGAATTGCTCGGGCATTTTCCCTGGACTGCATCCAGAGTGAGAAGATAGGAGGAAGGGGAGAAGTAAGTAGGAAGGTTGAGGAGAAGGAGGAGAGGGGGAGAGTGAGGAAGAAGAGGGAAAGAGGGAAGTAGGTTAGAGGGTGGATGCGGTTTGGGGGGAAATGGGTGAGCAATACCGAAAGTTGTGTGTATGAATTTATTTTACTCTTTATCTGAAGTATTTTTATGAATGTAATGCAATGCAAAATTGAAAATAATTTTTTTTTTACAAAAAAAAAAGTGAGGATCTTGTGATGTGTCAGGTGTGAGTCATCAGTGAGAGGCTTGTGATGGGTCTTGTGATGGGGAGGATATATCAGGTCAGGATCATTAGAAGATGAATTGGTGGGGGAGGGGCTTGTGTGGGTTGGTTGAGGGTCGGTGCTATCTCTGGTTGGCTGTGCAGTTGATTTGGATTCTGAGGGGTTCATAGGCTTGTTGTAGGTCAACGCATCTGTTGATGGAATTGCTTGTGGCGTGCCAGGCTTTGATGAACTCACAAACATGGCAGGTGGTAGTGTGATCAATGATTTTAGTGTTGCTCCAATCAAACTGGTATTGTTTGCTATCGGTGTGGGTAGAGATTAAGGATTTGGGAAGGTGGCATTTGACTGCCAATGTTCGTGGATCCTGATTTTTAACTGATATGATGTTTGTCACAACCAATTCTACATGGGACAAATATAACAAACATCATGTCAGTTAAGAGAGTTGTTATTTTTCTTCTTCATTGATACTGTACTAGACTAGGCTTTTATAAGTTTTTATAAGTTCAGGGAAATGACTGTGGATTGTGCTAGCTTCATTTCCTCTTCCACCAAACATCACCATCCACCTTAAGGAGGGATAGGGAGGAGGAGAAGGCAGGTTCTGACAGATGGTTAGACAATTATGTTTATTTGTCAAAACTTGCTCAGGTTTTACTGAAAGGTTTAGCATCAGTGTAATCAAAGGGAACCCATCAGCTAATAGCAAGGTTTTGTGTTGTTCCAAAATAACACTATTCTGGAAAGCAACATTATTCTAGAACAGCATTAAACTATTTCAAAAAATCTGAAAAATATTTAATAGCTCAAGCTGAAATTACTCATTGCAGTGACAGAGCTCCTTTCCACATCACTTTTTATCCTTTATTGATGATGATACAAAGTTATAGGACAAAATTCCATTTAATTGCTGCTATTTATATTTATGTATAATAATTATATACTACAGAGAGAGAGAGAGAAAGAGAGCTTTCAGATTTTTTTATGGGTGAGGAAAGCTAGGTAAATGATAAATGTTTTAAATAAGTAAAAAAATAATACATTCATGTTATGTGTACTTTAATTTTTAGGAAACTGATTTCCTTTGTCTTGATGGTGAGGAATATATTTTTGAAAATGAAGATAGCATATTTAATCGTCGTGCTAAAGAAAATGAACATGCATCTCTTTTCACTGATGGTGAAGACTCAGACTTTAACATGCCCGAGGATGAAATCATGAGGGTCCCAGATACTTCTATCCCAAAAGAATATAGCAGTCATAGCAAGACTGACCAAGATGAGTCTAACCAGCAAGAGGATCCAATCACCCAGGCTCTGAACCTGGTGCCAACTCAGTCAACTTGGACTGTTTCTGGTATCGCAGGTTGGCTTGGTTTGGGAAGAGAAGAAAATAAGGAGGCTTTTGGAAAATCCTCAGAGATTTCGGAACAAATTACATTTAGACATAGAAAAACAGCAATAGCTGACAATGCTGATTTTAAAAAACAATCCAAACAAAGTAAAATGGAGCCACATAGCTGGTTTCAGAACACTTTGACAGATTTGCTTCATTTTGGAAATGAAAAATCAGGACGTAATCTGCTGTACAAAGATAATGATCCAATTCTCCATAGCAGTTCCAACACTGCTTCTAATACTGGTCACCATGGCAGAAGTGCAGCTTCTGAAGCAAGAACAGAAAAACCGAATGACAATGAACTGTCTGAATCAAACTGGTTTGATCTGAAGTTAAATGACATTTTAACTTTTGGGTATGCTCATAAAAACAAAGAACAGCTTGCAAATGGAGAAGAAGGTCAAAATAAAGACCCACTGCCTCCTAACATACAATCGGTCTCAGTGGAGGATGGTTTGAGAGAAACAGCAGTAGAGCAAATGCTCTATGAAGAACAAGGCACATATGTTAAAAAGAACATAGAGCAAACGACTGAATCGGTAGTAGATGAAGAGAAAGAAAAATATCATGAAGAAATTACCAGCCCAGATATTACAGATACTGACTTTCCTCTAGGAAATGAACATCCTGATTTCATGAATGCAGAAGCTGCTTCTTTTTCCACTGAATTTGCTGAAAATCTAAAATCTTCCAATACAGAACAAGATTCAGTATCAGGGAACCAAATCATTGAAAATACTCCGGAGTCAGAAAGAATAAAAAGCCAGTCAGGTTTGTATGAAAGCGTATATAATAATATAACTGAAGTTAATAAGGTTACATCAGTTAATTGGCTAGGGCATGAGTCTCCAGCTATTCAGAGCTCAGTTGTAGATCAGCTTCAATCTTCTCACAGTATAGATAATTTTATTCCAATAGATACTCAAATTACAGGAGAAGAAAATCAAAAAGGCTCTTAAAAGCTCTAGTTTTTCTACTCCATTAGCTCTTTTACAAATATACTAGATTTTCAATGTATTAGAGCTAAAGAAAATGCAGACACTTTGGAGATAGATCAATAAATCTAATGAGTACAACTGACAACCTAAAAGTAGTGAAGCAAAATTTTGTATAGATAAAGAAAATAAAAAGTAGTTCTTACTAAATCAGAATATTATCGAAATGTAATTAGAAAACACAGAATATACTGATACTTTTCAGGAAAACATTCTCTTGTCTTCTTTAGCAGCAAAAGCTAGTAAAATATAGAAACCACTGAAAGTGGTTGAATTAATAGGTTAATAAAACACACTTTCTGTTAGAGAATTCTAAGTTAAAATACTGTTTTTCCTATCAATATATACAAATAACTAATTATAAAAAGGGTCAGGATCAGAAGAGTTTGAAAATATAGGAACACTTTAATACTGAAAATAAGATTATTCACATTCTAGAATTCAAGAAACAGTTTCATCTAGAGGTAGAAAATGTAACTAATTCACCACCAAGCAACAAGCTATGAAACAAACAAACAAACAACAACAAAAAAAAAAACGTTGGGAAAATAGCTGGACCAGATAAAATAAGGACAAGTAGAAAATTCACTTTTGTAGGTGTCAAAAAACATCTGTAGAAAGAAGGTCTAAAAGTATGCAAGAAAAAAATTTAAATTAGTCTGGAAATGCATGAGAAATTGTTTTTCAAAGAGCTGGATGACCCTTAAGGAATTTTTCACAGTTCAAGGATATTCCAGATGACAATGAAATATCTATTATTGTTTTAGACAGTGGGAAATCAGCTATAATAGAGAAGAAATAAGACTTATAATAGAAAAGTGTGGAATAAAAGAGAGAAATAGAGAGCAAAAAGCCAAAAATACTAATGAAGAATATTGTAATGAAGATTTTAATGAAAACTACTCCAATGATGTTGCAAATATTAAAGCAAGTTATGTTAATAATGAAAAAGAAAAGCAAGGTGTTACTGAGGATGCAAGGAAGTTAGCTCAGTCTCCATTTTCTATTTGTTTTTCTCCAGATTCAGACATACATTCTGAAGTACAGTACAGTGAAGCTGAAGAGCTCCAGTGCATTTCTTCTTTTAACTACTATAAAGATCTCTTTAGTTTTCAGAACTTTCCAGGCAAAACCAAAAATTCTTTACAAGAAATTAAAAGAACCCAGGTGGAAAATAGCCAATCTAAAAATAGTGTTGAATCACTACAAGAGAACAAAAAAATAAAAAACATGTTATATCAGAAAACAGCAAAGGAAGCAAATCTGAAGGAATATATTTTCAACAAAGATATTTTTTTATTTTCATCAATAATGCAAAACAATGCAGACAGTGCAAATGTAACTAAATATGCTAGGTTATTATCAGAAACAATTTTTCCTCCATCTGAAAAACATTTTTCAGAATGTGTAGTAGAACGTTTATTCCAGGATCAAATAACATGTAATAAAAACAAGCCATATAAAACCTTAGAATTACAACTCAGTCTGCAAAGATCAACAAAACAGTATAAATCTGTGAAGAGAGTTTCCTTATCTAGAAAACAATATATAAACAAAATTAAACATTTAAACCTAAAAGGTTTGGATGAAAGTATATCTGTCATACACTATACTGATGTTATGAAGGAAACTGATATTTCAGATCCGTTGATTTGTTTGTATTCAGAAAAATATACAAACAATGATACAGAAGAAGATGTTACAGATTCTTATAAAAAAAAGGAATTTGTTGAAGTGAAGAATGTAGCAAGCATGTTATCTGGTACTGTGAACATTTTTTCCATAAGTTATAATAAAGACTATCAATGGAACAAAAGTATAACTAAGGAAAGTATGATTCAGTTTTCTCAAAAAAGAGGAAAAGTACAAATTCATGTTTCAAAACAAATTTTGCAATTGACTGTTGACAGTCAACAAGATAGCACAAAGATGCGAACAACTGAAAAATATCCAAATAAATTAAAGCAGCAAGGGCTATCTCCAGTCGCTGCAGGTCAAGAATCGCTTCAATGTGAAAAAGAATTTTATGGACATGTCAAACATAATTTGAATTTTGTCACACACAATGTGCCAAAGGAATACTTTCAGGATCCACAAATGCAGATAGGTGAAAGAAGCAATGAAGTAAACAGTTCAGAAACAATGGAAGAATATTCTGATAGTGCTCAAAGTTGTGATATTTCTTCAGTAGCAGAAACTATTGAAAATTATGCTCTCCAAGAACAAACTATCTCACATTATCCTGATTTTCATGCTTTTTCTAAGAAAAATATGTATTTACCATACATGCATGAAAGTCTAATATATTCAAAAGAAGATAAAAAAGAATTAAAAAGTGAACAAAAGGTTTTAGTTTCTCATGTTGATCAATCAGATAGCAAGAAAAGCATTATAACAAGTACAAGGCCTGATATAAAGCATATAAATCAGATAGAATATACCACAAAAACGTATTTAACACCTAATTTAGAAGAAAAGGAGTTTAAAATTTTAGCTCAACATAAACAAAAAGATGGCATTTTAAATACTGGAGATACCGAACCGGAATTTCATCAAGAAATAGTACCACTAATGTTATCTGTAGTAGCATCTCAGAAGAAAACTAAATGCAGTTTAATCACGGACTATAATAATTTACTTCTTAAAAAGCATGGACTAGCAGACACTTTTGCCAGTGAAGATCTAGTGCAACATTTAGACATTCAGAAGGAAGGTTCCAAATCAGGTCTTAGGATTAATCCTAGCAAATTTTCCTCAGATGAGATCCCCCATCATCTTGAGTCTATAAATCATATTATAGATCGCACCCCTATGTGCATGAAAGGTAGTTTAGGTGTTAATCCTGATAATGAAATATTTACACAAGACAAAACAGTTTGTTTTAAAAACTTACACCATGTAGATAAACTATTTATTTATGGGCATGAAAAAGTTAAGCCAGAAAAGAGCCAGGAATATGAGAAAAGTGAGAAAAACATAGCACATATGAACAAAAATGGGAGAAGTTTTAATATAGGGCAAAGTGTTATAAACAATATTTTTGATAAAACTTCATATTATTTTGGAAAGATATTTCAAAAAATTAATGATAATGATTATTTCACAAAACATGAAACTAATAAAAATATTAAAACAGAGAGACATAAGGCTAAACATGCCCATGACCAAACAAAATATGAATGTCAGGATGTGAATGCTTTTTGTTATTTTAATAATAAAGTAATCAAATGGAAAAAAACTGTTAGTGCAGATTCAGAAAATGATAACAGAAACACTGACAGATTCCCAATTCTGGAAACACAGTCTGTTTTCCAGAATGCAATTCAAAATGGTAAATTGATAACTAATGCAGACTTAGATTGGAAAGGTGCCTGTTCCTCCAGAAGTGTCCAGGAATTTAATTTAAAGCTAGTTGAGGAATCAAAAAAGATTATTCAAGGAAACATTTGCGTAGATGAATTGCAGCACCTACAGCAAGAATTTGAGAAGCTTCAGTACAACACCTCCATTTCTCCATTTGAAGAAATTTACAAGAAAAGGAAACAAGCAACAGCTTTGGTGGAGCATAAACATAAATTAAATATTGGGCATGAGAAGTGTATGAAGACCAAAATGCATTTATTGCCAGAAGTTCAAAATCTTATGTGGGACATCAGAAACAACTGTGGAAGCCAAAAGACAGGTACTAGGACACTGTTTTGGTAATAAAAGTAGATAAATCAAAAATTCCTGAAAATTTTTGCTTTTAAATAAAGCAAAGAGCCTATGTGGTGGGGTTTTTTAGGCAGAATACGACAAAAAATTGATGGTTCTTTTACACTGACAGAACTTCAAGATAATATCCTATCCTAAGTGTAGTTTTATTTTGAATGAAGCAACGTGATTTAAAATAAAAAACAAAGGGATGTTTTTAATCATTAGAAAAAGTGCAATATTTCCACAAAATAAGTAGATGTATTATTTATACATGACTTGGACTATTAAATGCATTGTAACTCTTAAACGTTTGGATTTTAACTGATTGAATATATTAGAAAAAAACACTACACTTAATTCTTCTGCATCAGTTTGGAAATCAGGACTCTAATATATTTCCTGTCATCGTAATGAACAGAAGATAATAAGTTTTCCAAATATGAACAATTCAAGTGGAATGCTTTAGATTCTAGAATCATTCCCATAAGTCTGAAAATCCTTATTTTAATTTTCTTTATTTCTTTTTTAATAAGGCGTATTTTATATTCATAAGTATGATAAATAATAGTTATTGTTTTACTCAACATATTTTCCTGATTTTTAGGACCTTCTAAATATCTTGACAGTGATAGTGGCCTGGACTCTAACAATTACAGTATTAGGGATATTTTGCTTATATGGATTTTATATCTCTTTCTTATTCCTTAGTCCCCAAGGACCTTCCCTCAAAAATCAGTTCTGATTCTGGGGGATCCTTGGGAATCATGTCATTATTATATGTGCTTGTTGTTCATTACTGAGGAAACTTGGGTCGAAACATGGTGCTCTAAATATTGTTAAATAAATACAAAATAAACCCAAATGTAATTTGCTTGTGCTGGATTGAGCATAACATGTGGATCTAGTCATTTTGTTTGTAAATGATGAATCTTAACATATTGAGCCAGCCCAAGCCCAACTACATATTGAGCAAGCCCAAATATATTCTAATTAAACAAACAGTTTCATAGCATGAATTGTGAATCCAAATTCATGGCAAACTTAATTAACCAAAATTATTTCTACCACAATATCGGAATAAAAAAAAATGGAAAGGACTACCTAATCTATCCCATGCTTGTTAATTCCAACTTCCTCCCGCCCAAGGTTCAAAGATACCTGTAAGTGTGTGTGTATGGTTACAATTTACTTAGCTGTTGAAGTTTAAATGGTTATCTAATACTTTACAGCACATTCAATAAATATTCAATCAGAAATTCCTCAGTACCCAAGTAAATGAATAGAGGACTGCTGCTTTCATATATAATTTTATTTATATAGTTTTCTAACTTATTTGTCACCCATCTCACCTTGAGATGACGCTGGATGGCAAATTTTAGCAATTTAGCATCAATTTTAATAATAACATTCTATTTTTCTAAATTATTTTCTTGTTAGCTTTCAGCCAGAAAATTATGGAAGAGGAAACCCCAGATTTTTTCAAGATAATGATGCAGAATACAACCAGCTAAAATGTATAATATGTAATTCTTTGCAGATAATGGAAGATTACCTGGCAATGGTCTCAAAGAAAAAACTCCTTTGAATTCAAATAAGGAACCTAAGAATGATCAGTATTCTGAAAAAACCCCACCTCCCACAAATACTAAGAAAAAGCCAAATGCTTCAGGAAAAAGTTATCTAAATCAACAGGATGTCAAAGAAGTACAAGAGAACAATCTAATGAATCAAAGTTGTATCATTAATGGTAAGCAAACCTAATCTAAATATTAAAAGACCAGATTTTAAAGAATATTTCATCTGTAAAGAAGATAATCGTTAAAAACTGTTTTTTTTCTTTTTCTTGTACATGAAACAGAAAATGAATGGCCACTCCAGATAACCCCAGATCTGAACAAACTCTGTGCCATTATAACTTCTATTTTTTCATCTATGATATCGATAGGTAAAAAGGTATGTTTCTTTAATATGAGCCTACTTTCTCATGCTAATCATAAAAAAAATAGTATGGCTACCATGTCTAGGATGGAAAAATCTGGACAAATAGAGATCAGCAAAGAGACACATAATGTTCTTGCTCTCTATTGTTCTCTAATGTTTATCAAGATTTTTGCAATCCATGTACGGCAGTTTTAAAAAAATATTTTTTCAGCATTTAAAGTGTTGCCTTTTAAGCTTATATTTTTCAAGATAGGTTAAAGGTAGATGTAGTTTGTCTTATGGACCTGAACTACAATTCAAATTATAATTAACATATTCCACTTTAACTAAATTAAACGTAAATAATTTATGTTGAACAGCTTTTAGTGTTTGGTATCACAAAGCAAGTATTATTAAGGTGACCAACTGTCCTCCTTTAGGAAGGACAGTCCTCCTTTTGTAAGTTCTGTCCTCCCTTGAAAAGTGTCCTCCTACATGTCCTCCTTTTCGATATTTGGAATGCTCAGAATTGTGTTCTGGCACCTTTTTTTGATGTTTTTTTTTTTTCAACTTTTGCATGAGCTGTGCTACTCCTACTATTGGCTTTTGAAAGCCAGTAGGAATTGCTGCTGAGCATGCCAAAACACCAGGCTGGCAAACTTTGCACATGCAAGTTGTCTGTATTATTGTTGCAATGAATAAAATGTTTCTTTTATTTACAATATTTTTTTCTTCAATTTATTTGTGTCCTCCTTTTCATTGTAAAAAAGTTGGTCACCTTAGTATTATGACCCAGGTCGCCTAGGCAGAGGCAGGCTTTGATAGAGTCTTTTATTGCTCTGTTAAATTCCACAACAAAAAGTCCTACAACTGCCGGGTAAGGCTTTCATACTTTCATACTTCCTGAAAGCAGACACCTCAGTCCCACAAACAAAAGCCAGCAAGCAAAAAATAAACCCATTCACAAAAGCAGAGAGGAAGTCCAAAAAGAAAGTGCAAGCTCATGGGTCAAGGGCCATAGGCAAGTGGCAAGTCCACAAGGCAAAAGGCAAATCCACCAGGCAAAGGAATAAGGCAGAGGCAGAAACACGAGTCAAGGCTTGAATTTTTCCAAAGCCAGGGGAGTGTATTGTTCCCGACAATCTCCCATAGCTTCTGCTTAAGTCAATTCATGCCAGGTGTTCCTTGTGAGGAGGAGGGGGTAACCTTTTCCCCAGCAGCCTTGCAGACCTTTTTTGAGCTTGCCTCCCTGTGCCCTTAGATCGAGTGGGGGAGGCAGCTGTTCCTCATCAGAGGGGATCTGCTGCCTCTCAGCACTACTGCCTGTCTGCAGCTGATCCTCCCCATATCTGTGAGGGCAGGCAGCTCTCCATCCAGTAGCAACCACCTTTCCCAATGCCTGAGGGGCCTTGGACAGCATCGTCCTCAGCCCCCTGGCCTCTCCAAACATTAGACGGTCCCAGTTCCAATTCCTCCTCCTCTTCCGAACTGGGAACCATTGGGGCCATGACAGCAAGATTAGTCAGACACCTTTCTTCTGGTATCCAAAAGCAGAGGAACCTCATTTTACACTGCATTTGTACTCCAATTTTTCCCATTCACATCCATGTCAAACAGGAACAAAAAGAATGGGGGGAAATTAGGGTAATTTAAAAGGACTGTGCAAGAATAACATAGCTTAGCAATTATGGAGAAGGGACAGACCAGGAAGTGGGAATTCCTGACATTGGTAATACCAGCGCTCAAATTACAGCTGCAAAATTAAATTCCCAGCAGTTCCTTTTTTCCACAACAAAATCAGAAAAATTATTCAGCGTTGATGATGTTTTATGATCACATGGGCACAGAGCTGTGTATAATGCGACATAAATACCTTGTTTGAAAGTCCCAAATTTTATTAAAAATATTGTCAGGATCAAATTAAAAAATTAGTACTATCCATAGCCTGCCCAAACTCCTTGGGATAAGATGACAAGGGAATACACAAAATTATAATAATTATAATTTCAATGTACTTTGCAAAATGTATGAATTTAAATTGCCTGATGGGAATTAAAGGACTCAAAATTCTGGCAGGGAAAACAGTTTTCCCTACACAGCCTCACTCCATGCTTCTTAAATAGCCCTAAAGTAGAAGTAAAATTCAAATCCAGTGGATCTTTTCCAGTAAGTTTTCAATAAGTATGCTTAGGAATGAAACCTGCAAATTTGGCATTGTAATACTTTAGCAATCATGTAAAAAGGAATAGTTATGAACTAGCGTTGCCATGTAAGGGGGATATATGCATTATTATTGCAGATCAACTTTTCTATTTCAAGAATTGTCAATCTGATCATCTGTTTTTTTCCAATACGGTCCTAAGTCTAAATGTTTTACTTGCAGGTTGGGGGAGGGTAGAACAGTACTACGAAACGTCTCTGCTATTAAAATATTTGCTATAAATATATAATTCTATATTTTCCAATTATAGTATAGTATAGTATAGTATAGTATATAAACTAAAAGATTGTTCGTCATAAACTTCCCTTTTGCACTCCCTTGCATGAAAAGCATTAAAATCAGGGGAGAATCTCCTGTCCATTTGGAAGCTATTACTGAGATCTTATCATCTGAATTATGAGCTTCTAAAAAATTAGAAACAATTTAATGCTTTTATAACATCGTATAGAGCTACACTTCCCATTCTACAAATGGGAAAAGAGGTATGTGATACAGTTAAACTTTATAAGGGAAGATGAGATTTTGATTTTTTTTATCTAAAAGATACCAACCTGTTGGACTGCCACAGTCACTATATACGTTTTACTGTTTTTTATCTTTTTTCAATTTGTGAGTGGCGGGAGGTTGCTTCAGTTAATTTTTCTATTATATCTATCCTATAATGTTAGAGTATGAAGTGTTGGTTTCTTTTTGGGGTATGAAAACAAATTTATGTATAGACAAACACACTATACATAAATCTGTGACTAACATGTTGTAATTCATGCTATGCATCTCAGTCCCCTTTTAACATCTATTCACTAATAATTTCCTACCTTTTAACATCTCTTGCTCTCTCCTCTTCTCCTTTGTTCAATGAGCAAGATCAGCAATGTGAACCTTATGTATAGTTTGCTTTGTAGGTATCATATCATCGAAAACAGTCGTCTTTAATTTCCTTCTAGGCAACTTTAGAAAGGATGTTTTTATTTAGTGATGTTCCTTTACAGTATCTCTTGTATCAGGCAAAACGCCTTCACTTCTCTTAGGCTTTTTTTTTATTAGAAGTTAATTGTATGCTTTAGCATTTTACTTTTGCATCCCTATTGTCTACCCTGGTATTTACATATTGCATATTAATTCATTTTAAATTTTAAATGTTATTTTACAACATGTAAGCCTCTATTCTGGAGGGTACTGTGTCAGATCTGTGTAATCTGTTCTGGAGAGTAATATACCAAATTTAAAAACAATTAAACTATTTGAATAAAATTCTATGTACCATTCAGAACACCAGATCAAATTCTTACTGCCCTGTCCATGTATGCTTGTGGGCAAAAATGACATAAACCTAGGACCTCAGTTTATTCAGAATGGGAGATGTGTGTATTTAGAAGTAAAATGCCGTATCTGAGATATAATCTCCTTAGAGGAATGAATGACATTGAGGCAAGAACTTGTTATACAAGTTTAATGTTCTATCTGAACCTGTTATTATGCTTGGTTTCTTGCTTTATATTTAAATACCATTGATTAGTAATTAATCATAAGGATAAAAAGCAGAGACACGTTTCAAATATTGATATTGATCTTATAAAGTACGTAGCATAAAATTATTTTTTGCCAAATGCAAAACATTCCCTTCCATGCAAACAAAACATATCCCAGCAGTGGATGCTGTGTATAAAGCAACAACTATAGAACTATATATAGCAGTGTTATATTGTAACTATCCTCAACCTGTATTTCAAAGTCAGAATATTTACTTGCTGGACATACTGTTTCACGTCTGAATTCATCTTATTGATGGTGGCTTTAACTTTTTGGTCCCTAGCCCTTTTTGTTAAAAGTTTACTCCTTCATTCAGGTTTTTATGCTAAGGCGGCATGATTATGTTAGCAAAGCATTAAAGAAAATGGTGTATTTAAAGATATCATCTTACCTCATGCAAAGAGCTTATGCCTTCCAACTCTTCAGATTTAAATGGAAGTATCTGATCTAAAGACATGTTGACATTCTCTGTCATAACTGATTAAAAGATCTTCACTATTTTATAGCATAAGCATTCTTATATTTTTTATTAAACTTCAAAGATGTTACAATTAACAATTGTTCTAAAAATCATTTGAGATATACTGTATATAAATTATTTTATGGTGTTATAGCATATTATGTAACTACAAATAATATTTCCAAAACTATATAATTTCCAGAAAGAACCCAATCTATTAACTATATGATAAAGTGATTTTAGACAACAGAATAAAATACATTATTGCCTTGCAAGGACATGTCAAGGAATGTTCGAAGTCTGTCTTAGCACATAATTTCTCAATCTTGCCAACTTTAAGAAGTTTGAACTTCAACTCCCAGAATTCCCAAGTCAATATGCTGACTAGAGATATTCTGAGTTTTGAGCTCCACAGTTCTTAAATTTATCATGGTTGAGAAACACTGCCTTAGCAGATACAGCATATGAGAGTGCCTAGCGTCAGTCCCTATCTTCGTTTATTGGCCGAGTACTGCATTGTCTTCATGGTATCATGCGTATGAATGCTAGAATCAATATGCATCCATGTCGAGTCACGGATAACAGAGCTTCAACTCGAATAACTCACGAGATTCCCCATAAAAAAAAATAGGGCTGCGTTTTATCAGAGGCAAGGGAATGCGAATTTATGCTATCTTCTGAACAAGTACGATACTTTCAATATTAATCTGCGTCAGGTAGTAAAGGTTAGTCCTTCGGAGAAGGAAATATACCGAAGGATTATAAATACCACCTTCTGGGCCAGTCTGGTACTTCACCCTCTCCTCCGTACTACTTCTTTGGGGGTAATTATTTTGTTCACAAGTTGGGGATTGCTTTGCTGGTCTTCTCCCTTTCCAACGGACATGGTTTCTTCCTCTCCCCGGCGCTGCCAATGGTACATTCTGATAGACGTCCGAGACAGGAAGAGGCGGCGCTGGCAGCGCTATCTGGGCTTCTTTGGTAGAATCGCAGCTGATGCAGTAAGATGGCAGCGTCTTTTAATGTCGCCGTTCCTGGGGGCAGTCCGGAGGGTGCTCTCGCCGGGATTTTCGGGCTGGGTTTGAGGGACTGCGTTCAGCACTACTATGGGTTGGCCTTGAAAAGTGCTTGGAGCGTGAGTGTGGGGACAGATGGGGCCGCTTGTGAAGCAATCTGGAACGAGGGTCGATCGGCCCTTGGCCGAAGCTAACCTCCCGAGTTCCCTGGGGTTTGGCGTAACTTCTAGCAGACGCGTAATTTCTAGGAGCAGGAGTACGCAAAGATATGTGGCTGTGTGCTGCAGCTTTCAACATCGCGCAGCCCCAGTTCCTCATATGAGACGATGGCCGTTGTTCTGCAAGGATAAGGAAATTTCCCCATATTCTGCTGTTGCTGCTCCTGGTTTCTGTGATAAAGACCAGATTCAAATGAAGCCTCCGAAACTAGGGTAAAATATCCCTGGTGTCTTAAGCCCTATTCTTTTAACAGTTGTACGAGGCAATAATTCGGATGAAACTTTCGCATCACTAAAGCTTGGTGTTAGGAATTGTAGATAAAGGCACATTATTCTTGCTAGAAAAATAGAAAACTTCAGCCTCTGAAATTCTTTGCAGGTCTATAGAATTGCTCCTGCCTTTTGTTTAGGTATACATACCGTATTACCAACACCCAATAATTTACGGAGGCTGATGGCTTTTGAAAATTAATGATGAGAACAGAAGTCCGGAATACCTGGAGGACATCAGGTTAAGACAATGCTGGGCATGATTTATAACTGAAACAGGCATTATAAATCAGACCTTTGCACAAATGTTGTTGATGAAACTTGAATGTTTGAACTGTGTTGAGAATAGATAACGAGGTCCAGGTTCAAGGCATTGTTATTTGAGATATCATTTTTTTCTAACCAGCCAGAGTAATTGAGCAGAGTGGTCATGCTTCAGATTCCTTTAGTGAAACAACATCATTTATCAAGACCTAGGGCAGTGTGTCTTCTCTGTTGCAGTAGATGCCCTCTGGAGTGACATCCTCATGCTCCATGGCTCCCACTCTATAGTTTTCTGGAGGTTGTTAAAACTGTGGTCTCTGGCTTGGGCTAGCATGGATATCAAACTTTTGCTAGTTTTAACTGCTCTGGGATTTGTTTAACCATTGCATTATTCCAGATTGCATGGATGGTTTTTTTTTGTTTTGTAAACTACTCAGTGTTTTGTGAACAATTTCCAAGTCTCCAAATTGAATAAAGATTTGTCTTTCAATTTACTGCAGTTTTGTGTTGAGGTCACATGAGGTGGGGATTATAATGTACTGTACTTGGCATAAAATCTACTGCAGGAATTACTGTGTAGCTAATAAAACATTAATTAGCTGTACCTGTAAAATCAGGATTTATACATGTGCATTCTGATTATGTATATAAAACAAGGAAACCACACCTGTCACTTTTGTTGATGATCAGTGGCAGGATCTGAATGGAGACATAGTGGTTCTTTTGCTCCTACTGGATTTGTTACTAGGGTTCAATACCATTAATTGCAGTATCCTTCTGGACTGCTTGCAGTAGTTGGAGAAAATATTTTGCAATGGTTCTACTCCTTCTGAGCAGGCATGTCAAATTGGGAAGAAGAGTTGAGGCCTCTTCCCTTTTTTAAAAAAATCTTTTTAAAAATCTGAGTGCAATTATTTGTCAGATTGGGTTGAGGCAGGGGTGTCAAACTGCTGGCCGATGGGCCGGTTTTATCATACCGAAGCCATGCCCACCCTATTGCCGGCAATGCAAAAAGAGTCACAATACGAAGCTGTGCCCACCCTATTGCCTGCAATGCAAAAAGAGTCACAATACATCACGACATGTGACGTGGCAAATTTGACACCCTTGGGTTTACCTTCACCCCCCCCCCCCCCGCCAAACAGTAGATGGATGGAAGTACTGAACAAGCACTTAGAAACTGTGGGGAACTGGATGAGACACATGGGCTAAAGTTGAATCTTATCAAGATGGATTTGCTGTTTGTATAGAAGTCCTCTGGCTCCAGATTAGTCCTATCCCTCATTCCATATGGATCTGAACATATGAAGGAGCAAGTGCACACTTTGTAAGTTTTTCTCTGATCTCATAGTACCTGCTAGATCAGCAGGTAGATGCTGTAGCCAGAACAGCCTTTGCTCAGCTTCTGTACTAAAGTCAATTGTGAGTTATTATTATAGTAGTACAACAATGTTACTTGACAGCCCTGATGAGCAATGAGACCCCCCAATGTAATATATTCTGATTAGAGGCTGAATTCCACATATTGATTTCAATTATCAGCCATATCCTTGGTTTCAGGCATCTAGCAGAATTCTCCTTAGCATCATCCATTATTTAGCATTTGCCCTTAGCTCTGATTGAAGCACTAAAAATAGACAAATTTATAATGCTAATTTTCATAGCTATATTTCTCATTTTGTCTACAAAGTTTTCTGGGTATCATTGGTAACAAAAGGTTGAAGTAGATTAACAGCTTAATCTGTTGCATGTTTAATTGGGGGTTAATTTGATTTACTTGTTAAAGTTGTTCAGAATTACTGTTTATGGCCATAGTCCTTTTTTGCACGCTTATCTGCAAGCTCCTAATAGATTTATATTGGAGTAAAGAAATATTAGATCAGGTCAAATATCACTTACTTTACAATATGATTAAGTGACTAATATTTGTCTTATTTGCCAGCATATATTCAACAAATCTAAAATATAGAGTTTCTGATAATACTGTAGTCACTTCTAGAAAAGGAAGAAAAGTAAATACTGACAACTCAATTGATAAATAGTACTTGGCATTTATATGTGCAATTGCCCTGATTAATGTAATGTAAGTATCTGCTTTCCCCTTTTATGTTAATTATACATTTTAGCTGGGGAACATTTTATTAAATGCAATGATTATGAATTAATATGATCAAAATATGGAAATTATGTTAACAATTGTTCTGTCAGGCTTTAACTTTGTTTTCCTTCTTTAAAGGTTGTCTCATCATTTCCTGAAAATATGAGACCTGGTCCGGATCTCTTTGGTTTTTCATGGGAAATTATAATCGTTGCCATTTTTACTGTTTTACTGTTCTTATGCAGGATGTATAAGTCAGTAAGTATGCAATAAGGCATTAAATTGGAATGCTGTAAAATCATTCTGCTAAGCATCTAGCTAAAGTAGATTTTTATACCATGTTCCTATGTATGCTTATTTGCCAGTAGGTCAATTTATGGATAGTCATGTTAAAGACTATAATCCTAAACTGCTATATAGATTCAGAAGAAGGATCCTCTTTTCAATCAAAATATATAAAGTTTGTATTGGAAATATTTTTAAAATAAAATTAAGCTTAATAAATTTTGAGAATTATTAGCAAATTTTATTTTCTTTGACTAAACCTCTTTTGATTTGAAATATTTAACACAGCATAATTTGACATTTTCAAATCTAATTTTGTGATTTATAATTATATAAGAACAGCACTGTGCAAAATGTAACTTATAATAAAGTATATAAACACTTTTCCTTTCTTCTTAAACTAGCTTTTGGTAAAATCTCTCTCTTACGAAAAGATGATTATACAACCCTTCCTTCCTTGTCCTATTTAAATATCTTGGTAAACATCCCCTTGTAATCTAAAGCATTATACAAAATTTAGTTTACTTTTTGCTTATATATTTTCAAAATAATACAACAAATAAGTTATGGGAAAACTTTGCAACATTTCAAAATTGCCTCCATTTTGGAAATGCTTGCAATTTTGAGGCAGTGTATTTTTATTTTTTGATTTCTACAGCCGCCCAAGAGAGTCTCATAAAACATAGAATAATTTAAAAAATTAAGACAATTAGACAGTACAAAATCAATATATATAGTATCAAATGAAACTGTTACTATAGATCAGGGGTCTTCAAACTTGGCCTGGCTGAGGAATTCTGGGAGTTGAAGTCCACAAGTCATAAAAGGGCCAAGTTTGAAGACCCCTGTTATAGATAGCAATGTAGCCAGGAAACGGGGCCCTTAATACACTTAGGGCACATAAACAAGTCTTCATGGCCTTGCGAAAAACCATGAAAACCACCACCTCCCTGCAAAAGAGGAGATTGGAGACTGGACAAAAGCTGTCTAGACTAGTTGGGTCAAGTGATGGCCCTTTCAGGAGAGGACACAGCACTGCCTCTTTAAGAACCAAAGGAACCATTCCCTCCTTCAAAGAGTTATTAGTCCCCTCCCAGGCATCCTTAACTAATAGGGATGGACACTGATCTAACACAGAGCTGGCCAAACTAGCAGCCACTTCCTACAATGCAACAGGATGAACCCCTCCTCCCCCAAATACCCTTGCAAAACTTCATTCCTATAGCCTCTACTTGTGCTGCCTTAAAGTTCAATACAGAGTGAATGCAAGCAACTTTATCCGCTAAGTATGCAGCATATTCCTCAGAGCAACCCTGCAAGTAAGACCCAATATTGTTCCCTTCAGGGGGGGACCTTGTTACTCAAAATAGGGCCACTGGGCAACTATCTGCAGATGCAGTAGGGACAAAGAAATAATTATGTTTCCCACCATTACCACACAAGATAGCTTCTAATGATTACTATAGCTCATGTTTGATCATCTTCAGTTCCTTTCATTTGCCAGCAGTACTCTAGCCATTTCTTAGCCCACTTTAACTCTCCCAACCTCTCTATATACTATGAGGTGGAATCGTGGGGATGGGGCTGCTCAGGCACAATTCAATACAAGTCAATGACCACTCTCCTACTTGGGAGCAAAAGAGGTCTGGTTGTGAAAAATAATATGTTTTCTTCTTTGATAAGTCTATTTAACTTCACTTAAAATATTTACTTTCACTACTATTCCCTGTGCTTGAGACTAATCAGGTTAAAAATCTTAGCTAATTGGGTGAATGTGGTTAGCTTTAATCTTGTTTTATTTCAGCTAATGTCTTATAATTGAAGAAAAAGCATTCTAGGAAAATACTATTATTCTACCCATTTTAGATATTTTATCTGAATTAGTGTAAGGTCTTTATGTTATGTTTGCTTCAACCCCCCAAATCTATTTTTTATTATGATACACTAATCTTAAGACTTAAATTGAAAATTGAGTTTCAGTCTCATCAGATACTGTAAACAAATTGCAATATTTGCTCTTTTGGTTTTTTTTGCAGGTTAAAAGTAGACGTTATGTAGGTAAGTTAATTTATTTTCTATGGGTTTGGCTTTGTAGATTGTGTTGGAGTCATTTTCTGTTAAAGGTTATAATACTCATCTCTGTTTTTTTTAGAAAGAGAGAAGCAACGTGCCAATGAGATTGCTGAACTAATTGAAGAGCGATGTAAATTAATGGATAAACTCAGTCTCCACAAAAAAGAGGTAATTTCAATTATTTCAAATGTGAGCAAATAAGTATGGAAGGGTAGGCAATTTATGGGGTTCACTATCAGAACTTGTTAGCAAAATGGCCAAATTTGATGATATAAATTACACCTTTTTTTCTAAAATAAGGGTTGTCCCTGAAAGTAAATTTGGTTTTATGTGCCTTTCTGATGTAAAATGTATAAGAAAATTTTTGATTTAATGAGTCACAAATGGATTAGAATTCAGTGATTAAAATGGATACTATTAAGACAAGATGAAGTTAGAAATTATGATAACAAAATCTGAGGGAAAGTCCTTCTTAAATTGTTTATATTCCTTATCCTGTCAAATGCAGGACAAAATAATAAAAGAGACTTAACATTTCATATTCATTAAGACCCAGGATCAGGATATCAAGAGCCGAGGTGGCGCAGCAGTTAGAGTGCAGTACTGCAGGCCACTTTAGCTGACTGTGTTCAGCAGGTCAGCGGTTCAAATCTCACCGGCTCAAGGTTGACTCAGCCTTCCATCCTTCCGGGGTAGGTAAAATGAGGACCCAGATTGTTGGGGGCAATGTAAATATATATATACATTGCTTACTGGTGTACACCGTTTAGAGAGTGCTTGCACTTAAAGTGGTATATAAGTCTCATAAATAAATAAATAAATAAATATCAACAAAACCTGATTAATTCATTCCTTTTGGCAGAGCAATCAATAATGTGCTGTGAGAGAATTAAACACTCTTACACATTATATTTTTTGGCTACAAGCATATTGTTTTCCAGTTCAGCATTTTTGTTGTGAAGGAATACATTTATTAAAGAGTGTTCTTATTGCTGTCCTAGCTATCCTACCTCATGAAGTTGTGCAAATGTCATAAAAGAAAAAAAGGGGGGAAAGCATTAATTACTAGGAAAAGGAAAAGAAAAGAAAGAAAACACTTTATTTTCTTTAAGTCAGAAGTTAATTTCTATGGATATTTAGCATCTTTATCTTAGCTTAGAAATGGCTTGATAGTTTAATGGGATCACAGAACTGACTTGAAGTAAACAAGTCAAATCATACTGTTCCGCAAAAAGTTTGGCAGTGGAACTGTACACTACTGAACATAAAATAAAAATAGATTAATTAAATTTAATCTAAAAACACAATAATTGGGATAAATATGACAACCATGAAGGGAGAAGGTTGAAATTCTTGTTCTTTATTAAAAGGGATGTGCAAAACTAACAAATTTAATTTAGCATTAATTGAAATTACTACACAATGATTATTTATAGAAAGTTAAGACTTTTGCTAGGGATGGAAGGTGTAATTTTATCACTCTTCCCTACTTCAAGATTTCTTAAGGTATGACTTCCTGTGTTTAAGAAATCTTAGCTCACAATAAATACACTGGAGTTTAACCATACTAACAAGGAAGAAGCCTCACTGAAATAAGCAAAAGGAGTATAAGGGACTATATGAATAGTTTATTATCCCATTTACAGAGATAGCAACTTCTCTACTAAGTTGGAGGTAAAAGGTTATTGCTCTGACTAGAGCAGGAGACCTTACAGTGATGTCATCAGAGAGAGTGACAGATTCTTTTTAAACTCTTCTCTGGGCTTGAGGAAATTAAAAAGAATGGAAACTAGCAAGGTATTCCAATTCTGATCCTTAAATCTCTCCACCACCAAGTGGCCTAGGCCAAAACCATTTTTTCTGAGAATTTATTAGAAACTGATAGTTTCTGTGCTAAATAATTGTTCATTTGTGCAATCTCAGATTGCTTTTGGATCAGTCTGTCATAAAGAATTAAAACAAATTATTTTGAACTATTGGAACAAAATGAGAAGTGCTTCTTTGTTTAAAACGTAACATGATGTTCTTAATTTAGTTTGCAGAATTGGAAAACACTCTGAAAGACGGCAGCTTTCTACAAGAGTCAACCATTGCATCAAATATTAAGGTAAAATTGGAAGAGACAGAACCACTTGTAGAGTATTCTGGTTTCTGGTTCAAATGTAACTATGATGGTTTATTCAAAAGTCCCTTAGTATTTATTTGTGCTAAGTTAAGTGGAATTCCAATCCCACATAGTACAGTTAATGATAGTTTATAATACAAATATTTGCTAAATACTATGCTCATTAAAGAACCCTTAATTGAGCAGCATAATCAAGTTAAGTTTTTCTTATGTAAAGGTAGAATCTAAAATGTTGACAATTATAGCATTTCTGGTAAATAAAATTGAGGAAAAGATTTGAGCTATTTCCAAATAAATAGGGCAGCTTAAGCGATAATGTATTGGTGTTCAGGAAATAGATTATTAATATTCCCTAATATTAAAGTCTGTTTTACTACAGGTTCTTGAAATAGAATTAGGCTATCAATTAAGCAAGCTTGTACATAACCCTTCAGTCAACTTAGAGATTTTGACTAGATATTCTTGAGTTAATTTTTTATGACGTATACACAGTTTGATAAATTTGCTTTAGGGTATTTTTTATTTATGGGGCTGCTCCTAATTTGTGATTATTAATTACAGCTAAAGGTTTTTAGTAACTATTATGTTCTAGATCACATGTACGTCTGAATGTCAGCATGTTTTAAATCTTGGTAATTTAGACAGAGTATGAAGAACTGAACAGTTCAAACTCGGCACTCAAGCATGAAATAGAACACTTAGAAAAAGAATTGAAAGAAGAGAAATCTAAACAATTGGAACAAGATGATTTGGTAAGTCTTCTATTAAAAAGCAAACTTTCTGAGGCAAAAATATTATAATACAAGTTGGCTATATGTTAAAATTAATGCCTTGTTCTTTCATTTTTTAAAAAGTGGATAATATCTCATGGTTGATTCAGTTTTGCTTATTTTGATGAAAGTAAAATACATTTCAAAGAAAATATATATAGCACATTAAATTTTGCTTTTGTTTTAATTTCTTAATGTCTAATAATTCAATTTCTTAAACATTTTAATTTAATTACTTATGCTTGTGAGAGAGAATGTCAAATACTTGTAGTTGAAGATTAGAAAAAAGATAACAATACAATATTTTGAATAAGTTTTAATCTTCAACACAGTGCTATGATTTCACAAACTTTTGATTGATTCTGTGTATATTTTCTCAGAATTTATCTGTGTTATGCTCAAGACTGTTGGCTCCAAAATACTGTGCTAGGAAGAGAATGGATTAGTGGCGGGATTAAGTATCACAGGATATTAAAAACAGTGAAATCTGGTTATCTCTATGACTAGAATGAATTATTCATTTCTTTTGGAAAATGGAGGAGTTACTATTTATCAAGTCAGAGTATTGGGGATTTTTTTTTTTTTGCAAATATTTAAAACATTAAAGAGGGAAAGGTGAAAAGAGGATAAGAGAATGACTTGACTCTTTCATATAACATATATGGCATCCTAACATTAATTGAAAATAATTTTGAACAATATGCCCAGATGAAAAAAATGTAATGGTAAACTACATGGTAACCAGTGCCCAGACATTTTGAGTTGGCAGTATTAATTACATTGAAGAAACTTTTATATAAAATAGTGTTTAATATTTTTGTAGATGGCTGAAATACAGAAAAAAAAGGCATCTTTAGAAAATGAAGCAAAATCTATCCAGTTTCAAGTTGCTGAGGTAAGCTGATATTTAACTTGATGTTTGTATAGGCAAGTGGGCATATGCGTCAAAACAGTATACTTAGAAAAAAAAAGCTAATTCTGGATGTTGATATTTGACAACTTGTTAATTTCCTGCTTAACTTAAAAAGATTTTTTTTTAATGTAAAAGATTAGGCAGGAAAGCTGAGCTTGATATGTACCCCAGAATGGCTTATTTTATCTCCTTGGCATTGCCTGTATCCAAGGTTTTAATACTATCATAAATAGATTAACTCTCTTTAGTACTACTGGAGTTAGTTGTCTGGTTTTGATAGTAATTGGGTATTTTGGGGAAAAAAATTGAGAATGCTTTATTTATGTTCTGATATATTGTCTAGTACTTCAGATCAATTTGACCAAGATTATCCTTTTGTTATCCAAAGTTTTTTATCTCCTTTTCAGAACTGAACCCATTGCTTAATCCTGTGTCATGAAAATACAGTGTTGTACAATATTCCTTTGCTTGAAAAAAGATTTGTGTATGTTCCTTAGTAGTGTAGCCTAGCAGGTCTTCCAGTAAGGAAAGCAAGAGCTATATTAGCACTACTTTGGAATCTTTCTACGATTCTTATCCCAGTATTTCTGGGGATTTATGTGAAAGGTACTGTTTAAATACCGTCAAAGGCAATCAGACAAGTAACTATTTATGAGTCAGAAGAATTGCATTTTCTGTGGTTGATTTTTCAAGACCACTGCCAATATGATACATATAAATAAGGTCCCTTAATTTAAGGAAGGTGCTACAAAAATATTAAATAAATAAATAAATTGATGCATGCTGCTTAATATGATCTCCATGTCATTTAGGCCAAAACCACATTAAAAGTATATGAAATTAACAGAGAGAGATTGAAGACCTCTTTGCAAGATGCAGTAGAGGAAAACAGACATCTTCATGAAAGTGAAAAACAAGTATGTATTTTTCACTGTCTCTATACATACTTAGATTTTTATTCTTTAAACTGTTAAATATTGTACAAAAAAGAAGAAATTCATCCAAAGGAAGTTTTCACAGAGCTTCTGCTTTTATAATTGCATTTAATTGCATTTTGAGACTTTGCTTTTCAGCAGATAAATTTATTCAGTAGTGATGAAAAAAGCCCTTTGGCTTTTTTATAACCCATCTGGTGGATTACTGGGTCAGTTGAAAATGGAAAGAAGATCATGTACATAAAAGGGAGTGGGGGAGACAAGGGCAACATAATGTCTCTAAGCTCTAATTCAGCTTTTGCTATTCACTTTGTTTTTTGTTTGATTTGTAACATATTTCTTTGATATAATATAGTGATTTTGCAAACTTCCCTCTCTAGTTATTACAAGAAGCTGAAGGATGGAGTGAACGATTTAGTGAGCTAAATGAGCAGATAAAAATGTATGAATCATCTCAAGCAGATCTAGAGGAAGCTCTTAAAAATAAAGAAAGTCAAGTCAAGGTACACATATTTCTAATTTTTTAGCATTGAGCGGTCTAGCAAAAATATTATAGAGATTGTTCTCAGAAAACACATTCAGTAGATTTTAAATGCAAGTGGCTGTTTCAGAAATCAAATAAACCACTGCTAGTTAGAGATTTGTGGTGCCTAATAAGGAGAAAATGCTTTCATGCTTTGGCTTCTGTTTTAAAATGGTCATTGAATGGAAACTGAAATTTGCCTCTCATTCTGTAAATCCAATTTTGCTAATGTTTACATGATCCTGACTTACCACAGTAGTTCCTAAAAACTTTTTTTCTCTCTTGGAAGAAGCTGTCATATTAAGATTCACAATACCCATAAAAGCATGAAACATATTACCTTGATATTTGTTTATTTAATATAGAGTCTAAGATTCATTCACACTAACTTTCTCTCTCTTTCTACCTCCCTTCTCTCTATTCTAAAATACTGCTTAGTCTCTGACAGACTGCTTGTTAAGGATGAAGGACTGGAGCTGTGCAACAGGAGAGCATGATTCTGTGGGTGACAACTACAAGGATAATGATATAAAGAATGAAACAGAAAAGGAGCAGCACTTGGGTAAAAATATTTTCAGATTTCAAAAAGGAAACCACTGTCGTTATAGACTTTGTCTTCAAAAAGAAATAAATTATAATACATGCTTGTAGAGAATAGCCTATTTTATTCAAGGCATAATGTTTTTCTCTCCAAAAGCTTTATATTAATATATTCTGGATTTCTCAGAGCTGCATGATGTTAAGATCAGAATAGTTTTTTTTCAATATCATCCTTTGAAGTAAGATTAAAAGCAACAGTAAAAACAAGTCTTTGGGTGTCCTTTTCCCTTGCACTCACACCCCAATTTCTTAAGTAGAAATTGCAGCATCAGCAGCATTCACTTGGGGGTCAGCTACATTTATCTTAAGGATAAAGTAACAAAATGTTAAAACCAACTGAGAAATTCTGTTGCTTCTCAGAGGCTTAATAAATAAATCCTTGCTATCTTCCACATTCCTGTTTAAAGGCACATTAAAATGTTAAGAGAGAGGACAAAAAGAATATTTGTAGTGCTAGTGTTATTTTTGTAAAATCCAAGATTATTTCTCTGAGTTTTACTTTTTCTCTCAATTTCTTTAATCAGATGTTTCAGAAAAAGAAACAGTAAAGAAGCTAATTTATGCCGCAAAGGTAATTGAGTAATACTGTGAAGGTTTTAACTATTTTAAAAATCTGTAAAGATTAGCATGTAAAAAAAAGTATTTGGACTATGAGAAAATACTTTATACATTGAAGGTCAGGATATTGACTTTTGGGAGGAGCTATAATTGCCAACATTGTCCTCCACTCTCCTTCAAGAATGGAAATCTCACTGGAACTCTGGATTCAGGCTAATTTTTAAATAGTATATTTAGAAACAAAATGGTACATTGGTTGCATTTCATTGGACAATGTTCCCTGCACTTTAAATTACAGTACAGACAGAAAATTAATTACAATTCATATGATATTTGTTCTAGAGGTGCAAATGTATTCTTTCTAACAAAAACGATCTTATCTAGTTTATCTTCCTTCATTGTATAGCTAAATGCTCATGTAAAATCTGTGGAAACAGAAAGGAATCAAATATATTCAAAGTTAGCTGATGAAAAGAAAGCAAAAGAGGAACTTACAGGTACAGTAATCACAATTTTACCATAGATTTTTAAGTGAGTAAGAGTAAGCTGAATATGCTATTTTTAAAATTAGGGTTTTTGAAAGTAATAATTTAGAAAAAAAATCAATTCTTAGTTATCTCCTCCTTTCCTAAATCTGCTTATGCATAGTCTGAGGAAAAATTGCAGATGAAAAGTAAGTCCCTTTGTATGAGTGGACATTGGATGTCAGATTTAGCTTTTTATAATAGCAATTTTATTTAGATAATTAGGTATCTTTTAAATGAGATTTATTCCCTAATATATTTTGAATAATTTCTCAGTTCTCATAAGATGAAAGAATCTAAATTTTTAATGATTTTTTTTAACAATATCCCTCACCAATTATTTAGAAAAAATGTCATCTGCTCTAACTTTAGTAAAGGTTTTTCCAGGTTGTTATTTTTTTTCTTTTTGTTATCCTCAAAATCTTAATGGTAAATTTGGAATTGATAAAAGTGGAATCATGAATATCATTTTATTTTTGTATGGGAGTGAATCTGTAAACACTGAAGTTAGTGAAAAACTGACTAAAACATTAAGGCAGAAAAAATAGATTTTTTTTCTGTTTGTTCTCCTCTTCTCAAAATCAATAAAGAGTAGCTGAATCTTCTTACAGATAGAATATCATCTAGAGCAGGAAAAAAATAGTCTAATGGCTTTTGTCTTTACAAATTGATGAACAGTGGCTAGCAGTGAATGCTTTAGAACTGTGACCTATAGAATGACTTGAACTTCCATTTGAATCATATTAATAGATAAAGCAATTCTCACTAATAGCACTCTAAAGCCCGCGCTGTGGTGTGTTTTTATGGAACACATTGAACCAGCATTGACTGTCTTTGTTGGAAAAAGAATATAAAGACTTAGATTTAATAATTGGTGGTATATCTTTAAAAGCAATAGCTCTTCCAGCAGACATTTTCTATGACTGTTTGATCAATCCTGCACATCAGCTTTCAAGTACTTTGGCATTTCAAATATTTAGACATTAATATGTCACTGAGTAACAGCTCTGTTTCCTGTTTTAAACTGGTGTGTCCCTATGTAAGCCAACAGTAAAACTCCATCTTCAGATACATGTGGAAATAAATAATATTTTGCATTTTTGTAGAAGTACAAGTCATTTCTCAGCTATTAATACTAATATTAAGTTGTTATATTAATACTAATATTGAGGGTTTCTTTAAAAAGCTATAGCAATATGTACAATATTGTGGAGTAACAATAAAGCAGAATAAAATATTCTTGATCAAACTAAGCCACGTTTTTTTCAGAATGAGCTCATTCAATTTCTGAATTTCAGTTTTATGGTTCCGGTATTTGCTTATTTGTACTTATTTCTTTATGACAGAACGGATTGAAAGGCTACAAAGGGAACATGTCACTTTGCAGTCAGAAAATATAGAGGTTCAAAATGAAATTCAAAAGCTTCAGCAAAAGCTTAAAGTCATGACAGAACTGTATCAAGAAAATGAAATGAATCTTCACAGGTATTACTGGCAATGGATTTATTTAATCACACATTAATTTGTTACTAAATGTTATTTCTCTGTAATTGAATGCTTTCAATTTGTAGCACAATATGTAACCTAAATTTGCCAAATTATTTTACTAGTTTACTCTCTTGTGCCAATATTGAATAGATTAATATCATTAAATTCAACTCTACAAGAGTTATTCAGTTACTCTAAATCCTACAGGATACCTTAAAATAATTATTTTTATAATATTTACTATGTTTTTGGTTTATTGGAAATCATTTTGGAATGCAAAATCTTTTTTTAAACTAGTATGATCAATCTGTCATACAAAGAACTGAATTTTGCTTTTGAATTCTTTAAAAAGGCCTATCCAATGTTATTTCACTGTGTAGCCTGAATATATAAAGATCTTAGATACCGAAATTGGATACTTTTTTTGTGTGTGTATGTGTCTGATTCTGCCAATTACTTAAAGAACATAGAGACATCAAATAGTGAAAGTTTTAGTTTTACTTCCCATCGTCATTTTATCTGTACACATAAACACACCATCTGTACACATAAACACTCCAGAAGACAGGCTTCAGATACAGAAGGATCTGGACAGACTTGAACACTGGGCACTAACTAAAAAAATGAAATTCAATGGTGAAAAAAGCAAGGTTCTACATTTAGGCAAGAAAAACCAAATGCACAAGTACAGCATAGGTGGCACCATGCTCAATAGTAGTAACTTTGAGAGGGACCTCGGAGTCCTAGTAGACAATCACCTAAATATGAGCCAGCAGTGTGCTGCAGCTGCCAAAAAGGCCACCACAGTGCTAGGCTGCATTAACAGAGGGATAGAATCAAGATCACGTGAAGTATTAATACCACTCTTCAATGCCTTGGTAAGGCCACACTTGGAATACTGCCTCCAGTTTTGGTCACCACGATGTAAAAAAGATGTTGAGACTCTAGAAAGAGTACAGAGAAGAGCAACAAAGATGATTAGGGGACTGGAGGCTAAAACATATAAGGAACGGTTGCTAGAATTGGGTATGTCTAGTTTAACGAAGAGAAGGACAAGGGGGGACATGATAGCAGTGTTCCAATATCTCAGGGTCTGCCATAAAGAAGAGGGAATTAAGCTATTTTCCAAAGCACCTGAAGGCAGGACAAGAAGCAACGGGTGGAAACTAATCAAGGAGAGAAGCAACCTAGAACTAAGGAGAAACTTCCTGACAGTGAGAACAATTAATCAGTGGAACAGCTTGCCTCCAGAAGCAGTAAATGCTCCAACACTGGAAGTTTTTAAGAAGAGACTGGACAGCCATTTGTCCGAAATGGTGTAGGGTTTCCTGCCCGAGCAGGGGGTTGGACTAGATGACCTCCAAGGTCCCTTCCAACTTTACTACTACTATTATAGACACCACATCCAACAAAGTTCTGCATTAAAACTTTTCAGAGTAAAATCATGCATCATTCAAAGACTCTATCCAAGTTCTTTTACTGCTCTTTTTATTTGGAAATTCCACATGTTTCTATAGCAGTGTTTCTCAACCTTGACAATTTTAAGGCATGTGGACTTCAACTCCCAGAATTCCACAGCCAGCATTGCTGGCTGTGGAATTCTGGGAGTTGAAGTCTACATGCCTTAAAATTGTCAAGGTTGAGAAACACTGTTCTATAGGGTATATTCTATAGTAAGTGCAAGTGATTTGCAGTTTTTACAATAGTCATCTATTACCAGAACTGCAAAACACAAGTTTGCAAGTTTTTGGGAAATAATTTTTGTGAAAGTGACTTTCATATGAAAACTAAAAAACAAAAGTTATGACTAACGTAATATTTACTTTTTAAAAGGAAATTAACTGTAGAAGAAAAAGAACGTTTACAGAAAGAAGAAAAACTTTCCAAAGTTGATGAGAAAATTAATCATGCTGCTGAAGAACTGAATACTTATCGGTAATTTCACCAAGTATTATAATTAAACAATTCCAAATTTTTGAAAAAGAAATGGAAGATTAATTGGAAGAGTACCAATCTAGCATTGTACTTGAGATATTTCTAGTAGTGTTTTGTGTCAGAGGAAAAAAGCATTGCCCACAGATCTATGATGCAATATTAAACACTTAAGTTTGCTTTCAAAGATACCCTTGCAAATGGAAAGGGAATCCCACTCATGCAAGGAGAACTCCCATCTCCATATTGTGTATGTTGTCTGCATGTTGTGCATGTTATTTATGGTACATTCCCCACTAGTCAAGGACCATGGAATCCTAGGGCACAGCTGGGAAAGATGCAAGAGACTGTAATCAAAAGAGGAGTCAGAAAAACCCTGGTGGATAATAAGAGTTCCCTTCATCCTTTTTGGGGTTTAATTCAGAACATCTCTGGAAGACAACAAAGGATTTAGATAGCTGATGATTACTGAGAATCAGTTAGACATATTTATTATTCCTTTTTAAAATCACAAATACTAGCATGCTTAAATAGGAGCACGTCATTCAAAGCAACTTCAGTTAAAAGTAATTCCATTCACAATGTCTCCTGTCGCTTTTAGGCAAACAACGAGATTGCAACAGGGAGGTTCTGATATGTTTGGTCCCCTTTTTCAATAATCTTTCTAACTTCACCTGGTTTATAAAAAATAAAACCAATTTGTTTACACTTAAATCATTTAATAAAGTTTTGTAACAATAATAACATAATTTCTCCTTGTAATAATATTATATAGGCATCTGGCAAAAGATCTTGAAGAAGAACTGGAAAGAACTGTTTGCTCTTATGAGAAACAGGTATGTATTTTCTTAATTGAAAAATTTCCAAGTTTTTTTTACCTCATATAACATGGCTTCAGTTCTTTGGGCTTTTTTTAGGAAAAAAAGTTATCATTTGAAATTACTTTTCAGTGGTGTTCTAAATTATTTCAATTGGAATTTTCTTTGATTCATATCCTTCCTTTCATTAAGGAGCTCATATCCATTTAGCCATATTTAAAACTTCACAATTTTTTGTTTAAAGCTAATATGTAACTACAACAAACTAAGACTGAGTCTCAAATCTACATGAAAGCAAATTGATACGACTTTTATTGAATCCTTTCAGTAAAATTTGTTGTCTGGTAAATATATTTAGAAGTGTGGTTTTAAACTATTTTTGGTTTAGCGGCAGAGCTTTGTTGAAGCAAAATTTTGTTGTAGCTTTACCGGCTTATATTCGATAGTATAAAGCCATGGTGGTGAACCTATGGCACGGGTGCCAGAGGCGGCACTCAAAGCCCTCTCTGTGGGCACGCGCACCGTCACCCCAGTCCTAGGCCTTCAGCTGGGTTTTATAAAACCTTTTCGCTTTAGGCCTCCACCACCGTGTAGCAAAAAAAAATAAAAAATCAATCAGTCAATTTCAACTTCTCATAGGAAAAAAAAAGATCTTGCAAAGTTGGAATTGATTGATTGAACTTTTTAATCCCACCCAGTCTGCTGTTACCACCATAGCCACACCCACCCAATGGGCCACACCCACCCGGCACCCGACAATGTATAAGTGGGTTTGGGGTTGCAGTTTGGGCACTCGGTCTCTAAAAGGTTCGCCATCACTGGTATAAAGTACTTAAAAATATTGTGTTCCATTTTTGATCTGTTAAAAGGAACAGATAAAATGTCACTCAGTTTGATTTTATTTCTAAATTAATGTATAGTTTTGTTTTAATAGATTAACTCACATGAGAAAAAAGCTCATGATAATTGGGTAAGTTAAAGCACTATTTTATTGCCCATTTGGAAAAAAAATACAGCATTGGTGTAAGGTGTTTTTAATATGTAGGTTACATATATGTTCAGCTGTTAGATTTTTTTTTCCCCTCAAAGACACATGATTGCTCTTTGGGGCTATAAATGTTTCAAAATGGCCCTGTTTCTTTACATTTTATGTTAAATTTTATTTTAATTATCAAATTTACAAACTGCCCATCTACCTCACCAAAGAAGGGATTATTTTTCCCTCTTAATTTTTTTTAATTTTTTTTCTTAATGCTTGGCTGTACTTTTGTAAAAAAAAAAAGCTTAGCCATATTTCCTATAGCACATCAGAAAGATAGAGCAAGAAAATAGAGTAGGTACCAAAGCTTTCAAAAGTTTTCAGTGCAGAATTGTCACCCATATAGTTGAATACATATCTTCCCAGATTTTTTTAAAAAGATAAATCAGAAGTGCAATCTTAAAATCATTTTCTGTTTGTGGATGCTACATACATTCTTTTCTGAATTATGACTTTCAGAATTTATTTTCTTTAAATACCAATAGTCCCTGTTTGTTAAAAAAGATTGGATCTGCATGCTTTATCTGATTGTTATTTAAAGTAATGCATGGGCCTTAAAGGTAGTATTCTAGATTTTAAGTGAAAGGATTATATATTGATTTTCAGAATATTTGTTGAACTTTCAAAAATTACAGCACATTTATTTATTTAGACAAAATTCTGATATGTGCTATATATTTGAAGTTGACAGCCCGGGCAGCTGAAAGACAACTGAATGATATGAGAAAGGAAAATCTACACAGAAGACAAAAGTAAGTATAAAGATGTTCATGTTTAGAAGTTTTAGCGTTAGTTCTAAACAGTAATTTTATTAAACATTACTACTAAAGGATAACAACTGAAACACAAAAGGAAAGAGTAGAAAGTGCAGAAAAGAAAAAAATAGAAACAAAAGAAAGTAATAATAATATAGTAAAGAAAAAAAGATATATGGTATTTAAAAAAATTACTTCCCCCTTCATCATGTATAAATAATTTTCATAATTTATCACCTTCTCTTAAATCACAACAAATGATCTCCCCCCCTTATCTCATCTCTCATTTATAAATAAATCCTTAAAGTTCAGTTCTGATTAACAAAAGCAAGGCCTCCTAAGAGTCAGTACAGGGTTAAATCCAGGTGGTTATAAATGTGTTTTTGAACAAGGCGGTGATTCTGTGTTATTCCACCACTTCTTAAAAAAAAAAACATACCTGGATCTAACAGTTCTAGGTAATCTTTCTCCAGTCTTCAACTTTCCATTTTTAGAGAGATATTTTAGATGCTGTAGTGGGGGTGATATATCTGTCCTGCCCCTGTGTGATGTCTTAGTGACTTGATTTTATCAGTCATCGTATTTTCTGGACAGTTTCAGATATTGATAAAAGGGCCATGGTGTTACAGTTGATATTGGTAGGGAAGGAGTATAGGCCTAACCCCTGCTTTGCAGTGGTGCTCAGAGTTTTTCCCTGTCCACCACTATTTGACACTTACATAAAGCCACTGAATGAGGTCATCTATTGGAACAGAATTAATTATCATTAATATGCTGATGATATAAAGCTTTGTATCTGTACTCAGGGCTAACCAAGTGATGCTGTCAAGGTTTGTCCCTTGTGTCTGGAAGATGCAGTGGTGTAAATGGGAAAGCACACGTTTTGACTAAATCCAAGCAACTCAGAATGATTATGAGATTTAGGACCTCTCCCTTTCTGAAAACTTATCATTTTTAGTTTTGTATAGAGTTGCTCTCCTCCAGAAATAACTGCTTTGCATTTTGGAGGTCGCCTTGAATTAATGGCAGTAGATGCAGCTGTGATGAAGCGAGCCTTTGCACAAATTCATATTGTATGTCAATTGCACTTGATTCTGGATCAGGAAGTCCATTCATGCTTTGATCATATCACACGTTGACTATTGCAGTTTGGTCTACATCAGGCTGCCCTTGTGGACCATCCAGAAACCACAATTAATCAGTAATGTAATGGGGTGTAGCCAGGAATGGGATGACATCATAACAACACTAAAGCTAAACAGGTTTCCTATAGGCTTTTGGGTGCAGTTCATGGCAGTGGTGGGATTCAAATATGTGAACAACTGGTTCTCTGTGTGGATGCTGCTTCCAGAAGTCCATTCTGGGTCTAGATAACAAAAATATAGCTACCAGTTCTGCCAAAGTGGTGCGAACCAACTGAATCCCACCACTGGTTCATGGGCATACTTAAGATCACTACATAGAACAATGCTATCTAATGATACTTGCTCTGTCATGATTTCCTATCTTTCAGAACAGCATATTCTATGATATTTGGATGGGTCTAGTCTTCTATAAGACTTTAAAAATGTATTTCTCCTTTTGTGTTCCCCCCAAATTCTGGGTTAGTACAATGAATGAGCCTGCTGGAAAATGGATTTGGGATTTTGGATATGTTGAGTACTTCCGTTTGTGCTGTTTTATATTACGTTGTTTTATGTTCCTAGTTTATTTTGTTTTATTTTTAGTCCTAAATTAGTTTCACAGAATCATTTTTGCAAGTTGAGGAGCCATCCAAATCATATGTATGTATAAATCATTGAATCAGTCAATGCCTGTGATCTATCTGATTAACTGATTTTTCTTTGCAGTAGAAAAATTAAATGGTCGAAACAGTCATATGGAAAATCATAGCTTTTTGTTCCTTTTTGTAGTTTGACAGAAATAGAATTTAAATGCCATCTTTTGAAAAAAGATCCTTATGCTTATGATGATACAGCCACAGCATTTAGCAGAGGTATGGCTTTTTATTTAATTTCCAGTGTATTTTAAAGAATTAAATTCCTTAATTTTTGAATAAATATACTAACCTACCAATTCAAGTTAATTAGTATTTGCATTTCATTGAATTATAATACCTAATTTTGTTTCCCAGTGATTTTTAAATAAAACCTGCATAATTCCTTAAATGATTTATAAAAACTGACCTCTGTAATTGCAGGGCCAATAAGAAAAGTCAATCAGTTGACTTTATTATGTTCCAATTTAAACTACAAATCTGAGCTGATAAATAATTGTTGTTCTATACACCCATTAACATTAACTTTGTGAATTTTAGTATTTTGTTTTAACTGTTCCAGAGCAGTCCCCATATGGACCCTCACCAATGGGCAGACCTTCATCTGAAACAAGAGCTTTTCTTTCCCCCCCAACCTTATTGGAGGGTCCCTTAAGACTTTCACCTGTGCTTCCAGGTGGAGGAGGAAGAGGTACACTTCTTAAACTTGAAAACTTAATGATTCTGGATTCTCTCTCCTCTTAGTCTATCCCTCCTTTCTTGGTAATCATTCTGTAAAATCAACTTAAAAACAACCCTTTTCAGCTAAACTTATATTATCTATATACTGTAAATAGTCTTTAGCATGGAGCTGAGAGCAGTAATTCCATATATCCAACTTTATGTATTACATATTTTTGTGAAAAATCTGCAGAGAGGCTCCTCTTCATGAAGGCACTTTTTTACACTTCCTGACTGAATTTTTTTGTAAATCTTTGATCCACCAGTAATTATGAAGCCATTTGTATAAAGATTAGTTTTGAAATTAATTTACTTTAAAAAAAACCCTAAACCAATACTGCTCATTCATTAGATTAGTAAAACTGGACCAATGGTAGTTTAAAACTAAAATAAATGAGATGAAAGGAAAAGCAGGTCATATTATCCTTATGTTACAATAAAATACCGCATGGGTTTTTCCATCTTAGATTGTTGATTGTGGCCAAAAAATAGCTTTAAAATTCTTATACTTTATTCCAAAACTACTGGGCTGTCTGGCATGAATAAGTATAATAAAGTAGGTAAGAGATCAACCCATGCCATGGTTTGAGAATCAGAATAAGATACTCAAACTGTTTACCTGCTTTTGAACTAAAATTAATTAAAAATAGAAAGGGTGAATAAGGTTGAATATAGTTTCAGTTTCCTTTCCTACCTGTTTAGAGTGCTTATTTCTCACTTATTCTTCTAAAATAAGGAAGACTCTTTTAACCTCTTTAAAAGATGTGGTGGGTCTCTTGGAGGAGGTTGGGTTTGGGACAGAGTTGGGCTCTGAGGGCAATGTTTACTTGAAAATACATAGTGATTAGGTTAATAACAATTTTTTCTTCCTTCCTTTGATTTGTAAGAGGAATCTTAATATAAATGTGATAGTGATAGTCATAGTGATAGTTTTCAAAGCAGCAGCCTGACACGACTAAACAATTGCATACCTAAGGCAAAGAGAATACTAAGGAAATTTGCAACTTTTGCAGACAGGACAAAACAAATAATAGTTTATTTCAAACTGGAGAATTGGAAGAGTGTAAGCATAGGCATCTCCTCCTTTTATCCTACTTAAACCCTCTTACTGCATATTTGTACAAGTTTTTGTATATTCCCTGTACATATATAAGCTTAAAGTTAATAGGACAGTACAAACATAGGCAATTATAGAACCAGTGGCAGAGAAGAACACCCTGATGAACCTCAGCGATCCAAAGTTTGAGCGTTTAACAGCAATTAAGAACAGTGCCAGATTCAAAGATTCACAGTATTTTTAGAGTTCCAGACACTAACAAAAGTCTTAAGGAATATAAACAGACTTTCAACAATGCATGTTTGTGGTCAGATAAAAGTTTTATCTGAGAGCCAGCTTGGTGTAGTATTTAAAGCATCAGTCTAGAAACTGTGTTCTAGTCACACTTTAGCCACAAAGCTAACTGGGTGACTGTGGGTGAGCCATTTTTTTTCTCTAGCCCTAAGGAGGCAAAAGCAAACCACTTCTGAAACTGTGGCTAGTGTTCACTGGCCCAATTCTGATCAGAATGTGTGTGGAAGTGAAAACGCAACCCCCTTTTTAATTATATGAAGAGTTCTTTAATGTCCATAACATATGTGAATTTTCTAATTTCAGAAGTTTTATTGCTCTAGATTGGGCCAGTGGGTGGATGTAGAAAGCTTACACATCCCTGTTAAATTGCCAGGTTTTTGAGATGTAAACAAAAAAAATCAGACCCAGGTAAATCAGTTCAGAATTTTTCCACCTTTAACATATAAGCTGTATAGTTGAAAAACAAACTGATTTTTTTTAAGAAGAAAAAAATAATAAAAAGTGTACAATAACGTGGTTGCATAAGTATGCACACTTTTAAACTAATACTTTGTTGAAGCTCCTTTTCATTTAATGACAGCATTCAGTCTTTTGGGGTAGGAGCCTATCAGCATGGCACACCTTGTCCTTGGAATCTTTGCCCACTATGCCTTGCAAAAGCACTCCCAAGTCTGTTAGATTGCGAGAACATCTATGCACAGCCCTCTTCAGGTCACCCCACAGATTTTCAATTGGATTCAGGTTTGGGCTCTGGCTGAACCATTCCAAAACTTTGATCTTCTAGTAAAGTTATTTTGTTGATTTAGAGGTATATTTTGGGTTGTGATTGTTGTGTTGAAATGTGAAATTCCTCTTCATCTTCAGCATTTTAGCGGAGTCCTGATATTTGGAACTATTTATAATTCCCTCCACCTTGATTAAAGCCCCAATTCTAGCTGAAGAAAACATCCTCAAAGCATAATGCTGCCACTACCATGTTTCACTGTTGGTTTGACGTGCTTTTGATAATGCATAGTGTCATTTTTGCGCCAAACATACTTTTTGGAATCATGGTCCAAAAGTTCAACCTTGGTCTCATAAGACCATAACACATTTTTTTCACATGTCTTTATCAGACTTGATGTAGGTTTTTGTGAAATGCAGTCGGACTTTTCTTTGTAAGAAAAGGCTTCCATCTTATCACCGTACATCACAGCCCAGACATATGAAGAATACAGGAGATTGTTGTCACATGTAGTACACAATCAGTACTTGCCAGAAATTCCTTTAAAGTTGCTGTAGGTCTCTTGGCAGCCTCCCAGCTCAGTTTTCTTCTTGGGCTTTTTTTTTTTTCATAAATTTTGGAAGGATATACGCTTCTTGGTAATATCACTGGTTTTCTCTACTTGTTGTTGTCTTCACTATATTCCATGGTAAATTTGTTTGTACTCGTCTTCTGACTGATACCTTCCAACAATGAGATCCCTTTGACATTTGTAAGCTCTTTGCAGACCTGGCTTTTGGTATAAGAGGCAACTGAATAAATGTCAGAAAAATCCTACTAAAACAGCTGAAATTTATATGGGTTTGATCAGTCACTTTGCTTGATGGCAGATGTGTACTGATTACTATTTATCATCAGTTTGAATGCGATCAGTTAATTCTCAATATAGCCACATCTCTACTTGTAAGATGGCATACTTATGCAACCTTACTATTGTACTTTTTATTGTTATTTTCCCCCTAAAAGATATATTTGTTTTTCAATTGAATTATACAGCTTATATGTTATATTAAAGGTTGCAAAAAATTCTGATTTATCATGGTCTGATATTTTTACATCTCAAAAGCCTGGCACTTTAACTGGGTTTTCTATATCCACTGTACATCTCGGAGAATCAGTATTCTAGCTGCATGATACAAAGTTTACATAAATGTATTGTGAGCCAGCTTAAATATCACAACACATTATGTTTTATTATCCTATTTGTAACTTCAGTGAGATTTTACTTGTGTATATAAATCAAATTTATCTTTTCACCTAAACTTGATAAATGAGTAATTTTATGATAAATATGACCCAGACTTATATGTTTTGAAATGGACATTGTTTTGGTATTTACAGGTTCAGTTAAGACTATTAGATATTGTGCTAATTGGATTCATTGTAATTTTTTTTATTAGGTTCAAGAGGACTGGAGAATCCTAGCATAACTGAAGTTGTTAATGAAAGAGGAGAGCTGAACATCAATAGGTTATCTGATCCACATAGGCCACCTTCTGACACTGGATCTTTGTCACCTCCATGGGATAGAGATCACAGAGTAATCCTTTCTCACCCAGGTAACAAAACATGGTCTGCCCTTCTTTGCTAAATACAGAAATGAAACTACATTGAAATATTCCTGAGAACTACTTTGAAATGGATCTTTGATTTGGATTCAGTGGATAGATACGTACAAATCATTTGAAGGTGGTGTACTTTAAAACATTGTTTTTTCCTCAAATAAATATTTATTTATTTACATCCCACCTTTATGAATTTTATAATAGCTCAAGATGGAGAACATACATAATACATCCCTTTTTTTACAGAATTAACTGATTTAAACATTTTAAGGGGTATATTTTTGGTTCATTTAATCCAAAACTTATATGATTAGAACCCTAGAACCATTTCCAGATTACATATTTCTGAAAATATATAAACTACCCTCATAGTACTGATATTCATCTAGTCCATTTTTTTTAAAAAAAAAAGGGATGTCCCAGGAATTCTTCAGACTAGTATAGTTGAATATTTTTTCTAGCATCATATGTTATAGATTAATTCTCCAGAGAAGATATGTTTACAGAGAGAAATCCAACATTGAAATGTAGAGGAATTGCCTGACCATGGGAGTTATTAAACAGCCTGCTTTCTGGAGTTATTGGGGCTCCATTACAAGATCTTTTCAAACAATAACTGGATAGCAATTTTTGCGAGATGGCATGGGCAGTTGTATGGATTAGAGGACTCCACTTCACCTTTCAATCTTATGATTTTATAATTCTATATTAAGTATATAATAAGTATCAGATGTCCATTAACATTTATTGGGAGCATGTGGTCTTGTCTCTTATAGTTAACTTGTATGCACTGGTGTATAAGGAATACAAAATAAAATAAGCTCTCGGCATTGTTCAGGAATTCTTCTGAAAGAGCTTTATTTTTTTATTAAACAGTAGGTCACCTCTATAATGAGCAATCTTTTCCTCGAAGACCAGAAAGATTTTATTCCAATCCTCTAAACTCTGGAAGGCTTTCAGGACCAGCTGAACTAAGAAGTTATATCATGCATTCAGTTGATAAAACAGGTTGGAATTGTAGTTTTAAAATACTAAAATTTAAAAGTAATTCTTTAGAACCTAGACAAATGCACATTTTCAAGCTTTAATTCTTCTTCTTAGTAAGATAATCTAAGAATGTTAGTAAGACATCTAGGTATGTTAGTAGTAGGTGTGATATGTTGAAAGCTGTGTTCTGTGCCCTCTGTAGTAGAGCTCTGTTTCCAGTTTTTCACATAGAAAGAAGCAGTGCTGGAAGTTAGGAAACAAGTGGATCTATTTTAACTGCTCATCAGATGTGGAAAATAGCTGTGTTGTGAGAATAGGAGATAATGTATGCAACAAATATTTCTCCCATGCTGCCCCATAACAGCCTTTTCAGGAATCTTGACTGTTCTCTCAGGCTGTGTATGTTGCATGGGGATGCATCTGCCCATGCATATGAAATCAGGTAGAAGAACATTAGCAGGATTGAGGGTGAGGGGAAGTTTACTTAGAAAGGAAACATGAAAAGAGAACAAATTTGTTTTAAAAATAGAACTAAATACAGCCCAATACACTTAACATGATTTCACACTAAATATATATTTAAGACGTTTAATTCAGCACTAGTAATCATTGGTTATTCAGACTTGGAAACAAATCATAATAAATGACTTCATTTTCAGTAGCATGATATTTAAGCAGCATTCTTGATTCTTGCACGCCAGCCATGCAAGCATAAAAAGGGAAAGTTTTAAATGTTCTGTACAGGAATGTTAACATTTATTTATTTTGTATCTGTATGGGGTGGTTAATTTTTTGAACCCGAAGAAGCATTCATGTGTCTCATTTAGCATTTGTGCTTAACAAATGTGTGAAAACATTAGACATTGTATCTTGTGTCTATAGCCATCTGGAAGGAATATGTTTGTGAGTCTGCTTAAGGTTAAAATGTGCTTTCCTTTCCTTCACATCCAGATGGACCATCATCTGAAAATAACTCCAGAATGGACTTGAGTGAAGATGAAATAAGAGATCATGCCAATGGCAGTGTAAGTAAAACACAGAAAAACTGAGAGAGAAAAAAATAAATTTTAAATTTGCAGCGCTGGAACTGATTTTGTATAATTTGTATTTTTGTGTATCTTTATTTATATGAATGCTTCCATATTCTAACACTGAATAAATGTTAGTTCAAGCAGTGCTTCTATAACTGAAATGATTTTATAACTGAAAAAGCAAAAGAAAAGAAAGAACACGAGGTTAAAAATAGTTGTTTGGTAATGGCTGGACCGTGCATTTTCTCTATAGCAGGGGTTTGCAACCTTGGCAACTTTAAGACTTGTGGACTTCAGCTCCCAGAATTCCTCAGCCAGCAGAGGAATTATTTCATCCTCGTTTGGTAGTTGTGCTCTCAGAAGAGAGAAGGCAATTTCTCCTGTTTTTCCCTGTCTTTTGAAAACTGTTCTTCATTGAGGGAACAGATGCAGGGATGGCTTAAGGGGCCTCAGAGGAGAAAATGGCTCCATGAAGATCCTACCCTCCACTTAACCCAGAGGTTTTCACTGTGATCTCTCCCGTTTGTGATTCATTTCTTTGTATCCTATTTTAATTGATGTCTTTTCGCTTGCAGCTTTTGAAAATGGATTTGAATACATTCTTTTTGGTTCATGCCTTTGCTTTGGATTCCATTTCTACTCTAGTCTGCTTTCATAAGGCACATGTAAAATGACAGATGCTTTTCAAAACGTTAACTTGCCTCCATTCCCTTTTTTAAAATTTATTTATTTATTTTACAGAATATGTACAACATACACAATCCGTCTCTTCCTCCTGAAAATGAAACCTTAGGACCAGGAATTGTGCCACCACCACTTCCCTTTTTGAGAGCTCCTCTAATGTCAATGGATCCCAGAGGACCTTTCATGAGAAGAGGCCCTCCATTTCCACCAGTACCTCTTAGTTCTGTATATAGTTCCCAGGAATATTTTCCAAGGGATTTTGCTGGTTTGCCACGTCCTCTATTACCAAGTAAGTAGTAACTAAGTTTCTAAATACTAAATAAATCCCTAGGAAAACATTCACAAACCATAAGTTGAAGCACAGTCCAAGAAGAAATTGATGTATCTGGATCTGATGTATCTTTTTCTGTTAGAATAACAATCCAATTTTTTTGCTTTGGAGATTTAATTCCAGTTAATTTGCCTAGGTCAGGGGTCCCCAACTCCCAGTCTGTGGATTGGTACCGGGCTGCGGCATGCCAGCAACCAGGCCGCACAAACAAAGCCTCATCCGTGGAATGCAGGCAGCACACAAAACCACACTGTCTCCGGCCCGTGGAAAAACCTTTCTCCACGGAATCGGTCCCTGGTGCCCAAAAGGTTGGGGAACTCTGGCCTAGGTGCTTCTGATACATGATTTTTTCCTAGTTTAAAATTCTTTAAGAACATGAAATTTATTATTAAAGTTGTTGCTAAACTCTAGCTTGATTTAGTAACAATTTGTAGTTCTAGGGCACATTCTTAAAGGTTCTTGAGGAGCGATGCCTCCCTGTTTGATCCAGATATCATATGCCAGGTCCCTAAGCTCTGCCCCAAAGCCCGTTTGAGGTGACCTCAGGCTAACCAAGAAATACTGTCAAGGTTCCTTCTCCTCCTTGGAGGCTGCGGAGGCCTAGATGGGGAAGGCCTTGAAGATCTGTTTTTTCCTCAGGCATTACAATGTCTTCTGAAAGATTTTTGCTAGGAATTTCAGCTGCATTATGTTGTATTGAATTATACTAATTTGCATTATGTCTTTGTATTGTTACAAAATCACTAAGTAGAAGCAGTCATCTTTTAAATCAGGTTAGATGGGTGGGTGGATGAGTGGCTGGACTGATAGGAGAACAGGCAAATCTAGCAAAGTTAATTAAAATTCATCTCTGGTAAAATGTTCATGAATTGGGAGCAGTCTTTCAAATTGATGTTTTTTTCCTATCCCAATTTATTGGAAAATAAGAGTTCATTATATAGAGAGCATTAATTTGGCAAAGGCAGTTTTGAGAATGTGAAACATTCACCGTTTAAATCTTTCTTTTAATGAAACCATTTTATTGAGATTTTTTTTTAATGTTGTCGGTTACTAGTTGTTTTGAATTATGTGTCCAATGCTAACTAGCTTTGCTCTAAATTCAGACTAAAAAGATGTTGATAATTCTCTTTGAACAGTGAGAGGTCCCTTTCCTATGAGGCCTTTTTCACAATATCCACCTCCTCTGAGGGCTGGCTTTTTTCCTCCTCCACCTCCACCGCCATCTGATAACAGAAATGAGGTTTCTGCTGAGTTAACACAGCTGTCAACTGTATCATCTACAGATAATCAAGAATCACAAGAAACTGGTTGAAAATCATTTTGTTCTTGACAATTCTCTCAACTGAATTATTTCTTCTCAACTGAAGTAACTTGTTACTTAATCAACTCTATTATTGCTCAAATTGAAGCTGAATAGAGTAATTCTCAGGAGAGTGATCTGTAAATATTGGTTTAACTGTGAATAAATTATAACTGTACAGCAGCAACTTTTAAATATTTTTATTTTGCTTATCTAGATGTAAAATTTAGTCCAATAATAAGAATTCTCTAGCTATTTTTCACAACATCTGGTCTCATAAAAAATTAATGCACGTGAAAATGAGGATTATGGTAAAATGCAGGTGTTAAAAAATAAAAAGGTTTTAATCATTTGTAATATTTTGATTATTTAATAAAAGTCAGTGTCCTCTTTTTTTTTACAATTCTGAAAGTATACTCCATGGTAATCCTTCAGAAGTTTTGTATAATAAGTCTTCAAGTTACAACTGATTGCTTAGTGACCATTCAAAGTTATGATTTATCTGGAAATAAAGGAATTAAGATCCAGTTCCAAAGTTGTGGCAGTTCCTGACCCCCTCTGGGAGGGCTACTTTGGGCACTTGGCAAAACAGCCACGTTGGTAGCATCTCATGGTCACATGACTGTCTTTTACAATGATTTTGCAAAAAATTGTAGGGTTTTCAGCAAAATCAACACCATAGCAAATAGTGAGTTCACTTAACAACTGCTGCATTTGTTTAACAATTGTGACATCCTCTTAATAACTATCGCAAAAACTGCTGTTGCAAAAAAAAAAAAACAGTTGTTACAAAATACAATTGTAATGGGCAGGTTCCATTGCAATTGTATTTCGAGGAGTACCTGTACTGTCTTAACACTGCTATAATAAGTATTGTAATAGTGTACTGCCTGAGACCAGTCGTATCATCTTTTCTTAATATAAACTAAAGCTTTATGTTACTTTAAGAATTTGGGAGATTCATTGCATTGCTCAAGGCAGAACGCCTGTATGTGTCTTTTTAATAATCAAAAAGATGGTCGTTAGCTTCATCTTATACCTTCTGATGCCTTACAGCTTATGAACTGTTATTTGAAATTTGAGACATATAATTTTGCACTGTAGTATATAAAAATTCACAGTATATTTCTATTTTTTATTTACACATTAAGATTGCCGCCCCACTTTTCTCCAGGAGTTCAAGGTGATAACAATTACACAGCTCTTCTTCATTTTTTTTTTAATTACAACAATCCTGCTAGATAGCTTGAATTAAGGAAGAATAATTCCTTCAAAATCTCCAAGTGAAGTTGGGAGAGCCAGGCCTTGATGCCCTTCCTGAAGGCCAGAAGAGTAAGGATGCACCTCACCTCTGGGGGCAAAATGTTCCACAGGGTGGGAGCAACAGCTGAGAAGGCTCTCTTCTTAGACCCTGCCAGTTGAAAATCTTTTAACTGATAACATCTGAAATATACCTTCCCTTATTTGTTAAGCAAATCCCTGCAGGTAGTTAAATGCAACATCATATTACCACAACTTGCAGCTTCCTGTTTACTTCTTCACTGACTTTGTCAGAAGTTGGCAGTGAAGATTGCAAATGTCAATCATATAACTGGGATGCTGTGACCATTAAAAATACATGCAGATTGCCAAGCAGACGCATCGTAATCAAGCTGATGTGCAACGCATTCTTGACTTAATCACTGGAGATGAACAAAGCCAATAGGAAATGAATCATACTGCTATAATAAAGTACCTAACAACAATGAATTTTGATGCTTTATTCGTTGATTAAAAGAATATACATTTAACATAAACCATACAACATCAGTCATCAAGTCAAACACTCAGCTGGTTTCCTTACATTTTCTGTCAGGAGTTACCTTACTCTGATCACATTTATAAGATAAAATCTCACCACATCTGGCATATACACACACTGTGCCAGTGGATTCACTCTACTGATGTACATATAAAATCCGCATGGTATGTGCTCACTGGAGACAAAACAGCGCGCACCTGTCAAAGGTCATTTTAATATAAGATGGTAAAACCATTTGTAAAACACATATAAACTTTTCCATAAATAGAATCATATCTGGACATCTGTTGCATAAATTGTGTTTTCCAAAGCTTACAATATGGCAGCCAGGTCTCAGCACTGCTGGGCACCCACGTTGGCCACTTACTTTATTATTGCAGACTGTCCTTAACGTTAAATGCACAACATTCGTACCACTTAAAACTTGGGTCAGGTGGAAGTCTCACAGAGACCACGTCTGTACCGCGGTTGCCCTGAAACAGTTTAAATCGGCTTTTAAAGCCTCTCAGATATAACAAGATTTTAAAACATACTTCATGGAATGTTCTTCATGCATCATAGCAGCTCATACCTGTGATAGAACAAGGTTTTTATCGGTTTCTTTTCCTTCCTTTACATTCACTATTCACAGTGAAACAGGTGCATGTTTAAGAGTTCTGAGGTTGCTGACTGAGCCACAGCACAGCTGTGTACCACAGGTCGAAATTCGACCTTATATATTACAATCTAGCAGTACCTGGCTGGCCAAAAATTGGCCTGCCCCTGCCAGCATGTGGGCACTTCTTCATTTTAATCTATTCTTTGGCAGCTGACACAGGCGCTGACAGAGAGAATCCAGTGACTTAGTTGCTAGGGATTTCACGACTAATGTTTGTTTGTGCAAGCAAAGTAGATTTATAAATTTATATCTAAATTGTTAGGGTTTTACCCCATTGGAGTGTGTAATCTTAACTTTTCTTTTCAAACCTGGGCCCGAAGCTAACTTGGACAGAGAAGCTGACAGACCACGAGAAAAAGAAGCTATAATTAATTTACAATGAAACTACAGCTTATAGCCTTCAGAGTCAGGTAAATCTCTGAATAAGCTACACAGTGCAAGAAACTACTGTTCATATTTAAGGAGGAGATTGCAGAATGGCAGAAATTCATGCTTCAGGTATTGTATGTGAAATCAAAGCAAGGTTTACAGCAAATGGTATTGATCGTCTTGATTTAAAAAAAAAAAGCTTAAGTAGCATGCTACCAATTTACATGACAATGACCGCATTCACCGGGCTATGAATAGTAAAAAGATTTTTGGCTTCTGAGCACAAAAAACTCCGACAATAGTAAAATCAGTGAAGTTGCAGACTTACTCAGTACAAAAAGAAAGTTAGCTGGCAATCTCACGATAACCTTCAGCCTCATCTGAGTTTTGTTTTGTTTTGTAGACAAGTCCATTAACCGTGAAAGCCCTAAACATTGCCACTTTCAGCTTCTAAACAATACCCGACTACGTTCTTTGATCAAGAAGTAGCATTTACATATATAATTCTATATAGCTAATACTGATTAAACACAGCACAAGAGGGGTTAATTCACACTACTAAAAAACATAATAGGACCCTACTTGCATATGTAACCACAGGAACTGTAAATAAAGAGAACTAAATGCCTTCACTGAAGCTTTGCATTTCTCTGTAAAAATGACGAGTTGGCTCAGTAAACACACTGAGCAATTCTATGTCCATGACTGCATGCCAGGGTCGACCCAATCCAAGGGATACCTGCTCAATGAGATTATGCACTGGATCTACATCCTGATCAGCCAGTTCACCATTGTCAAAATCAATGCTTTCTTCTGTGACTTCAAGCACTTTCAAATCAGAGCCACGAAGACGAGCAATGGCAATCAGGTTGTGAGCCCAAACAGTATAACCTGAAACACAAAATCACACATTATTTTATTGGATTTCAATTTTCTTCCTTTCTTCCTATTCTATAGATTTAATATTTAACAACTAATGCCTTGCTGTTTGCTTTCCTTTCCATCTAATAATTTTCTCATTTAACACCAAGTTAAAACAACTTTGTTATAACTTGGTGATCAACTGATGGAATTCATCCAAAAGGTTAAGATGCTAAACAAATTGGCTTTTACTATTTTGTTACCAGTCTTTATTAAATAATATTTCTAAGTAATTTGCATAGATAAATTTATCATAATATTTATACATACAGTATACATTAAGTAAGCTGCTCTATTAGCACAGCACATCAATATTTTAGATTAAGCAGCCAGTTATCTTAAGACTTACTGGAAGTTAATTATTTAAAAATAAACAAACAGTAATATATATATATATATATATATATATATATATATATATATATATATATATATATATATATATAATTTTTAAACTAGGGTTCTTTTCTTCCAATTTGATTGTTTTGCAATTGTCTCAGTCTTAAATTATAACAATTTCTGCACTTTAATTCCTAATTTATATGAATAGTACAATGTGCTAAAGCCAATGAAAAGCTTAATTCCTGCTTCTTTATATCAGTTTTCTTTCTCATAAGAAAAATGGTTGATATGAAATTATAATTGCATATCAGTGGAACAACCTGCCTCCAGAAGCGGTGAATGCTCCAACACTGGAAGTTTTTAAGAAGAGACTGGACAGCCATTTGTCTGAAATGGTATAAGGTTTTCTGCCTGAGCAGAGGGTTGGACTAGAAGACCTCCAAGATCCCTTCCAACTCTATTATCATCATCATCATTATCATTATTATCATTGTTATCATTATTATATTATCTGTACACATGCTAGTAATCAATGCTAAGTACTTTTATAAGTGGTCGATGCTTTGCACCTATGGAATTGCATACCATGCACTGCCAGAAGGGATAGCCTTGTGCACCTCCACGCCAATAAAACCAATGGATCTTCGGTCCGGTTGTCACTGAGATCTGGGAAGCCAGACATATCTATCACATCATTCATTAATATGAAGTGAGTGAGGAACTTATCATACTGCCTAGATATGAGATCAACAACAGCTCCTGAAACGCAAGTAATGTAACTGTCAAAGTGAATCCTTTCCAGTGGGATACTAGGTTTAAGAATTCTTAACATGTCATCACTCTTGATATCAAAAGCTATTATATAGACCCGAAGATTAGTGCTGTTGCGTGTCAGGGCTTTCCAATCTTCATCTTCTGGCATATTCTCCAAGGATTTGTGCATTACAGAAATATTGTGGACCAGAAGAGATAGTCGATGCAAAGGCACATGGTTATTGTCAGCCAAAACTCTCGCCATTTCTCCTGTAAAATCACAGAAATCCAAGGCAAGCGAGCGTAGATTGATAAAGCGCTCCATTTCAATTGCTGTGATAAGAGTGGTATTACCCGGAATGTGATTATCCAGTAAGCTCAGGTGCTCCATGGTGCTGGCAATGGAATTTGAGAGAGATGACAATGATGTGGGCGTTACAATTTGTAGCATAAACCCACATGACAACCATTTCAGTTGCCTGCTGTTTCCCAGAATTTCTTCAAATAACTGCTGTATTCTGCAAGAAAAACAAGCAACCATTTAAACCTTCCATAATAAATTCAGAGGCAACAGGTAAGCAAGAAAATTATACTGTTCTCCCATGTTGCGCTATCTACACAAATGCTAGCTTTAAATTTCTGAGATACAAATTGCACTACTGTACTATTCTGGAGAAAATCTACTTGTAGGTTCAGAACCTAAGTTCCTTAATTGCTCTATTTTAAATAAATATAACATAAAATCAATGTTTGCCTTCTGAAATTCTACACGCTAACTTGCTCTGTTCCACTTTTTATTCAATACATGCTCAGGTTATCTATCATACACAGCTAGAACTCCTATAGAATACAGATTGATGAAGTAAATAACATTACCACAGTCCATGGGCTGCATGCGGCTATGAACAGCTAATACAGATAGTCCTTGAGTTATAACAGTTCATTTAATAATTTTCAAATTTACAGTAGCACTGAAAAAAGTGAGTTATGACTATTTTTCAAATTTACAACAGTTGCAGCTCCATGGTCACGTGAACAAAATTTGGATGTATGGCAACTGACTCATATTTATGACAGTTGCAATGTCCCAGGGACATGTGATCACCTTTTGAGGCTTCTGACAAGCAAAGTCAATGAGGAGGCCAGATTCACTTAACAACCATGTTATTAACTTAACAACTGTAGTGATTCATTTAATAACTGTGGCAAGAAAAATTGTAAAATAGGGCAAAGTTCACTTAACAAGTGTCAGCAACAAAAATTTTGGGCTCAACTGTGATTGTAAATTGAGGATTACCTATATTGTGGCTTATGTAAGTATAAATATATATTACTAATTATATCCACCGTTCAATCCTGTTTTTATGGCTACTTTCTGAAAAGAGCAGCGCAATGCCAGTAATAATAACTAGTAACCATGTATGTAATACAGCTACTGCAAAATCATGAGCAATTTAGATCTGTAACTATATAATGAGTTTGTAAAACCATTATATTTATATTTTTGTTTATATGAAACAATACATACAGTTTTGCAATACTGTAGTAAAATGATGCAGACAACTTACTGCTTAATCTTTTTGCCATCTGGATCTACTTTGCTGAGGTATGTATTTGATATAATTCCATGTTGTTGCAGAATGCTTATATCACCAAAGAGACTTAATTTCTGAAGATTCCTATTTAGAAGAAAAAATAAAATTCAGAAGGGAAAAATACTTTACATTTTAATTATCTATTTGTTGATTTACTTCAAAAAACATTTTCTTTTCTAGGGCTGCCCAAAACATTACATATACAGAACGGGTAGTTCTAGACACAAAACTAGAACATAGATGTTTGCTCCAGTCCTGCAACAAGAAGACATGGTCAGCAGTCTAAGATTAGCAAGGAAAAAGAAGTCAAAAGAAGATCAGGGGAAGAGTGTGCAAGTTGGGAGTGCTTGGCAATGGAGGATACAATGACGCATGGCTAAGGAAAAGAAAGGGAAAGGGAAAGGGAAGATTGAGGGCGAGTGGTTGCATGGGCCAGGCAAGAGGAGGGGAGAGAGAGTTGAGGTGAAATGCACGAATCTTACTCTCTCATCCTATAAGATCGCTCTAACTTTGTTTCAGCTGAAACCCAAAACAACCAGGTTTCAGTTTGGCTGAACCTACAATCCTCACTTACAAGAGTCTGGCTGTGGTTATTTCTTGTACATGGACAAAACGCTTCTTTCATTTCATTTCATGTATGTCTTTCTCTTTTTAAAACCATCATGTATTTGAATGACCAAATGAAGACTTCATAAGGCAAATGTTTTAATGTGCTCAGATCTCAGGCAGAATACAATATTTAAAATGTTCTTTTTGTGAATCAATCTGTATCAAAATATACAGATACACCTCTAATGATAGCAAATTTACAGAAAGGATAGATATATACTCCGGTAATAATGTTGTGGTACATTGGTTAAGGATTTGAAGTAGAATTAAGAAGATCCTTATTCAAATCTACTCAGCCAGGCAAGCTGACCAGGTGTTGTGGCCCAATAAATATTTTTCATTGCAGAGTTATTGTAGGAAGAAAACTTTGTGTTCTACCAGAAGGACTGGATGTAAACAACAAAAATTATACCAACAAATTAATGCCAGGGATATGTCAGAGTGTTCTCCTATTCTATTACCATTATTTGTTTGCTATGCCTATTTGTCTGTAACAAAGCACATTGAAAATAGCAGACTTTCCCCAAAGAGCCTGTTTGATACACAAAATGAAATTAATTCAAAATCAGTGGGACAGCTTATTTTAGCAGTTATTTCTTTCAACCACTTTTGTAGACTGCCAACCCTCTGGTTAAAAACTATTATAACAATGAAGCTATGGACCATTTTTGGCAAATCTTATCTAGCATCATGGATAATCATGATGGACTGGCTAATCTTTATAAGCTTTTGAAAAGGATTTTTTCTTCCAGATACAAATTAGATGTTTTGCTTTCTATGCCATAAACTATCAATGTAAACTATAGCAATTTTTAATTGTAGAACCACATTGAAACATTGCAGTATGTGAACCAAATTACCTAGAATTTTTTTTAAAAGATTCAGGTAAATTAAATGAAAAAGCTCAAAAGGATACCCTTGGACTCAGAGAATGACTATTTAGGGTATGAATGCATTTATTATGGGGAATGTAGGTAAAATCCACCACTGGTTTCATCTGGGCCTGGCCAGTGTGTGTGTGTGTATGCACTCATGCATGTGTGTGCCAGATGGAAGGGCCAGAACAAAAACATATATATATATATATATATATATATATATATATATATATATATATATATATATATATATATATATATATATTAATATTAGTAGCTAATAATTCAATTACTAATTAAAATTATCTGCTTAAAATAAGAAACTACATTTATAAAATTAATTTATCTCAATCTCCAGAGTATGGTAATTCTCTTGCTTACACAAAATCATTCTGACACCAACACTTTTCTCCTTTTCAAGCCAAAACAACTAAAAATAAGAAGAGAGATGAGTTTAGCTGCACTGTCACAGAAAGAGAAAAAGATAAAAACAAACTGGTTACAGATAAGGTACAGAAAAAAAGGAAGTGGATAGGGAAGGAAAAGGGAAAGAAGTAGAAATCCATTTAAGGATCATAGATGATTAAATGATGAACACTCCTTTAATCTCATGACAGACAGACAGATTCAACCATAGTTTCAACTGGGAAATATGAGTATCCTAGGCCAAGATAAATCCAAACATTCTAGGGAATTCCTGGAAACTTGGCACTCAGACAAATCAGTCATCAATAGATACATAGAGATAAACTACATTTACACACCATTCAAAAGAGATAATAAAAAAGCTAAGCAGGAAACAAAAAGACCAGATATCTTTTTCAGCAACCAATGTCCAGATAAACAGAGATTAACACCAGACAAACACTCAAGCAGAAAACAGTATCTTAATCAAGGAACTATCAATAAGAAAGCCAGACTCCCACTAACACTGGCAGGGAAAGCTATTGTATATAAACAGGGAGGAAAGCTAACACTTACTGGCAATTATTATGTTGCCTAATTCGGTAATAAAATCAAATTCTCAAATTAGGTAATAAAATTAAGTTCAACCTTGAGCTACATATATTCCTTTCTATTGAAAAAATACTGTAATGCAACTTGGCAGACAAATAATCCTTTTGGAGCAGCAGCTAAACTGCAAGTCATACCCACTGCTCTATTCTTCTCATCAAATGCAAGATAATAACACTCAGGCACATGCAATCATCTACAGTAATTCTTAGGAAAATATATTATTTCTCCTCTGTCTGGTAAGTACAATCAATCCCTGTTGGTAGGCTTGCCACAGGATTATGATTAGCAAACAATTAAAACACCCAATCCAGAAGCATTTATATGATGTGTAAATCCTATTTCAGACTTTCCTAATTAGTGATTTCCAGCAGGTAGGTAAGAGACTGCTGTTGGATGGAGGATGGAGCAAGGGATTGTGAAAGTGGCTGGGAAACTGTCAGGAAAATGAGCATCATGTGATTGCAGTAGCATCCTGGCTGAACTGAAGCAGCAGCAGTCTGGCAGCGCTGAAGCAGCCATAATTTTCCCAAATTCCTCAATGCCTTCAACAATAACAGAGCTTCTAATATAGTTGAAAAGTTCTTTAAAAATTCAGGGAAATAGTATCTTCCTTGAAAGTAGCCCATGTTGAACTGTATAGCATAATCAAGCATCAGGAACTGATCATAGGAATTTTTAATGACATTTGTACTGTATCATAAAATGCTTTATCATAAAAATTATGTCAAACTTCAATTCCATGGGAGTCATGTGTCCCAGATTTTGGACTCACTTTGTAAATTAACCCATTTGGTTCAAAATGTTTTGCCCTGTGGTACATGTTTTGTCCTGTTAAAGATCACAGGAATCAGAGTTTTAGTATTATGTAGATAACTAGCCAACCTGTGATCAGTTCATTATAGACTGTATAGCAGAATCAATATCAGCATAGGAATTTTTAATGACATTTTGTATTATGTCATAAACTGTTTTATGATCAGTTTGATGTTACAGGAATTAGAGTTTTGGTAGTATATAGATAGATAACCCTTCATTACTAGCTGTGTTTAGTAGAACTGATTGAGATTTAAAGTTTATCAACAATGGAGGGGCTACACATTATTCAGAACTGCTCTTTTTAAACCATCTCAATTTCCCCAATGATTTCATAAAAGGATAAAAACACAGATTCAAAGACATGTACATTTTGCAAATAAATCCAGGTTCAAAACAGGACAATATGCTGAACACATCATATAGCCTTAAAATATATAAATTGTTTTCCAAACTTTTTAATGAGCCAGCTTTAATAACTGATTCATATGCTTCGTGTAGAAAACTGACCTCAAGAGGTAAATATTTTAATCAGAAGCAACAGCTGGCACTATCATTTTTAGCTCTGCAGACTAGGATTTCTTGCCTCAGGTACAGTAGATTCTAGAAAAATAGTGCTGTCATCTGAGAGTTGTACACTATTCCATACACTATAAGTACTACATAACTTACAGTCTAACCAATTTCAGAATATCACTACTTTCAATTTTTATTCCTGGTTATTCAACTTTATATTATACATTACAAATAAAAGTCAGGCATAGAAGGGTTAACCAAGGATAGAAAGGTAAAGAGGTTTGGGGTCTTATTACAGCTTTGAGTGGTTTATTTACTATTGGCTACAGAGTTAATGGTACTGTAGGACACAGTTATCCAATTTATGACCTATTTTATATTCTGGAATTGAGAAGCCAGCAAAATCTGATACAATCAGTTTACTAAAGAGGAGAGTGATACGTTTTTTTGGACAAAAATTTCTTATTCATTACCAGGAAGCTATCTAAAAACAAATTACAATCTTGAGGGATTATCCAATTGGATAGGAAAAGAAACAATTTATATTGGTTGCTGTTTTATTGTTGTTTTTATATCATAAAATGTTTTATACAGTTCACCAAATTTTAATACTAAGGAAACCATGGATCCGAGATTTTGGACACATTCTGTAAGTTAGCACATTTGAGGTACCTTGGTCAAAAATTGTTGCCTTATCGTGCATCGCTCTTTAGCAAAATTATTAATGATGACAGAAGGCAATGTATGAAATTTGTCTAAGGCAGCCAAAAACTAGTAATACTGATAGTTCTTGCCTATTTTGCTACAAATACAGAGAACACTGTTTTCTTCATTTGGGCCAGGGACTGTGTGTGTAAGATATATAAGTAGTAAGCTTTCACAAATAGTGGAGGTTTATTGTATATGATGACACAGATTTATTATGTTCCCCAAACTTGGTTTCTTCAAAATATGAAAAAAAATTCCAAGCAGAAATATGATGGCAGTGGACAAAATTGGACACAAACAGAAATAATAATGAAGGCAAGTGTATCTCATTACCTTTGTTATTTTAAAAATTACTTTTTCTTTATTGTTAAGGATTAGCATTGTAAAAATTAATCAATAGGCAATCATGTATCCTGACTATAATATTAGAATTAAGAATGTTATAATAAATGAAAATAGATTCTCTTGCCTGTATAATTCTAAAATATCCCAGGATCATTTGGTTTAATGCACATTACTTACTCTTCTATTCTGATAGAACAG